TGGGAGGGAACCAGGCAGAGGTAATTGAATCCTGAGGGTCAGTTTTTCCCATGCTGTTCTCATGACAGTGAATAACTCTCACAAGATCTGATAGGTATATCAGGGGTTTCCCCTTTTGCTTCTTCCTCGCTTTCTCTCGCCTCTGCCATGTAAGAAGTGCCTTTTGCCTCCCGCCATGAGTCTGAGGCCTCCCCAGCCATAGGGAACCATAAGTCCAATTAAATCTCTTTTTCTTCCCACTCTCAGGTATGTCTTTATTAGCGGTGTGAAAACAGACTAATACAACTTCTCAACCATTATCTAAAATTCTTGAAAGCCACAGCTCCTAACACAGTGTCTGGTAAGTTATTAACACTATTAACTGAAGTTGAAGACAATTTCAGATTGTCTATTAAGTAAAAACAATAAGGGTGTTTTCATTTATTCTGTATTTTCTCATTTTAAAGAGTACATATTTCATAGTTTGATAGTTAATATTCCACTGTCATTCTCAACAGTGCACAAAAGACCTCTATTCTACAATACTTAGAATACCTAAGCATTATATTCTACAATACTTAGGATGCCTAAGTATTATATTCTACAATACTTAGAATACCTAAGTATTATACTGTACAATACTTAGGATGCCTAAATATTATATTCTACAATACTTAGGATGCCTAAGAATCTTAGAACAAAAATGTGCTACAAAAAACAGTATCACAGAATTCTTAAGAAATTGCAGGATGCTTGATTTTATTACTACAGGTGATGCACTAATAAAAATAATAATGTAGCTCACCATGTGCACAGTATATGCAAGTTACACATATTGACCTCCCCCAAACCCTATGAAGTTAGTCTATGAGTTGCAGACAATGGAATCCACCCTAACCAGTAGTTTAAACAGAACAAGATTGATTGCAGGGTATCTGGCAGCTACAGAATTTCTGGCGGAGCATGGGAGTAAGTTTCCATTCTACATTTTCAGGAATGATGTAGCCATTCTGGAGAAATGTTCAGCCAGAACGTGGGGTTCTCCTAGGGGAACTCCACAGCTGCTGTCTCCAGCCACAGGTGCTCAGGACTAAATACTGAAACTTCACCTCCACCACTTCCAAAACACCAGTCACCTCTGCTACAGTGCTTGCAAGAAAAGTTAATGTCTTTTCAAAGCTTTTCACTGCCCACTTCCACCTCCCAAGACTCCTTCAGGGGTGCCTACTCGGCAGAACCAGGTCAGATGTAAAACCCAGCTGTAAGGGAGTCTGGAAATTTTGGGAAATGGAGAGCCACATCTTACTATAATGTCTCTGAGTAACTCTTGAACCAAGTCGCCTACCTACAGCCCCTACTCCAGTTTAGACCATCACTACCCATCAATAGAACCACTGAGGTGATCACTAAATTGTGTTTTCTGTTCTTGGTTTCCTCTCCCTCTAATCTACTTTTTATACTACTGACAGATTCCTCTTTTTAAAATTGAGTTGGTATTACTTTCCTGCTTAAAAACTTTCAGTGATTCTTTAGCTCCTAGACAAGATATGGCCTTTAAAAATCCCATCCTAACTTATCTCTCTAACTTCATGTCCTGCCAAGCTTTCCGTGGACCCCAGCTTTCAAGCCTTACTGAAGCCACACATGCTTACCTCTCCACACCTTTTTGCTTATGGAAAGAACACACTCTTTAGAGTCACATGAACTTGGGTTCAATTTCTAGTTCTATCATGTGACTGTGGGCAAGGTCCCCAAACTTGAGCTTCAGGACGCATGGGGCAGGTTATTTCCAATGCTAAATAATTTTAGGCAAATCTTTAAGTTAGAAATGTCTTATTTAAGCCTGATTTTAATATAAAAACAAAAGTAGACTATATATTCATTATTTAGTTAGCCATTCTGGAAAATACTACTTCCACCATTCATATTCTCATATGATTTCACAAAAAACATAATCTCTCATTATTTTAGAAAATAACAATTAATTCCTGAAACTGAAAAAAGTCATTATTCTTACATGCTATTATGTTCTGATTAATATAAATCTAAGATTTCTACAGAAAAGTCAGCTTGACCCAGTTACAAAAGACAAATCTTAGATTTGTTGCTATGTAATCCCTGTAGACACTCACCACCCAGACACAAAAAAGTATAAAGCAAAAGGATCAAAATAAGACAAAAAACTAGCCTATGCTATTGGAAGTCAGGATAGTAGCTATCCTTAAGTGGGGGTTCGTGACTGCAAGGAATTGCAATGAGGCTTAAGGAATATGTTTGGCCTGTGAAAATTAATTGAGCTGTACACTTTAACATTGATAAAAGGCATATATAATTAATGAAGAAGAAAGAACAGTAAGAACTTTTATAAATCACTCAACAAAACATTAAATGATATGAAACAAAACTGCTGGGAATACCAAACAATTTTTACAAATTATAAATAACAATGGTAGGATTAAACCATCTCTTTCAGAAATATACAGGTCAAATTGGAAAAATATAGGGATATTAAGAATTGAGCAATTAAATCAACAAGCTTAATATGTGTATATTTGTATAACCAATAAATATTTTTAAATTCTTTGTAAATATTTAGGGAACATTATATTATGCCACAATAAAATATCCCAATAAATTCCTCAAAGTAGAAATCACATAGGCTATATTTTTTAACCACAGTACAGTGAAAATAGAAATAAATACAACTGGATAATGATTGTCTATCTTTAAAACTCAAGAAAACTGAACAAACTATTAGAATCAACAAGATTATAATCAGAATCAGCAGAATGGCTGAGTACATAACACACAAACATGACAGATTTTCTATATGCCAAAACTCATTAATAGTTATTCACAATATTGCAAATATAATATCCAGGAAGAAATACTAGTCAGAATCTGATCAGAAATTACTTTAGTGAACTTGACAAGCTCATTGTAAGATTTCCTTGGAGGGGAAAATATACAAGAAAAGAAAATTTTGAAAATTATCTTATCTGCCAGACATCTAAAGTTACTACAGAGATGTGCTGTCCAATAAACTGCCTGTATTGGGGATATTTAAATTAAGATTAAAATTAACAATTCAGTTTCACAGAGGCACCAGCCACATTTCCAGTGTTCAACAGCCACATGTGAATGAATGTGTGTATGGAAAATACATAAATATAAACCCAGACTTTCAGCCTATTCATATTTATACATATGATTTAGCAAATAACAGTAAAGAGAATCTACAAACCGATAAAGTTAACCCAATAGAAAAAGGGCAAAAGATATAAACAGGCATTTCACACACAAAAAAATACAAATACATAATAAATTATAAAAAAATGTTCAACTTCATTTGTAGTAGAAAAATAAAATTAAAAAAACAATGAACACATCTAATTTTTAATTCTCATATAGACAAAAATGGGTACTATCTGTGTTGGTTGAGAGCGCACTCATGCATTGTTTGTGGGAAAGCAGATGAGTACAGCAGTTTTAAGGGCAATTCAACAGCTATCTGTCCAAAAGAATCTTCATGCTTTTCTCCCCAATAATTTCATGTCTGGGAAGTTACCTCCTAAAATACTTACGTATTTCATCAGAGAAATACATACAAGACTGTTCAATATAAGCAGTATTTGTAATAGAATGAAACTGGGGACCAATTAAATGTCTACCAGTAAGGAAATGGTTAAATAATTTCTGATATATTCTTGTTATGGATGAAGGATTGAAACAAAAAGAATAAAAATAATAGCTAATATTATGAGCATTGTACTTATGATGTGCCAGATAATACTCTAATAACTCATTTAATAATAAATCACAATCCTGTGATTTGTATGTTAGTATAATCATCAAATATTTTCTCAGTGAGGGCTTCTCTGATTCCACTTTTTAAAACTGCAAGTACCTCACCCATAGGGTGTATGGGTGGGGTGTACTCCCATACACCCTATTTCCTTCCCAGTTTTATTGAACTTTTACCTTCACATATACTATATAACTCACTTTTAAATTTTATTTTATCTTTTTCCACTTCTACAATGTAAGCTTCATGAGGGCAAAGTATCTTTTTTCTCTTTTGTTCATTTGCCATAGCCTTGGTGCCCAGAACAGTGCCTTGCACATAACAGATGCAAAATAAATATTTTGGATTAAAAGACTCATCTCCTGATATGGTTTGGCTCCGTGTTTCCACCTAAATCTCATCTTAAATTGTAATCCCTATGTGTCAAGGGAGGGACCTGGTAGGAAGTGATTAGATCATGGGGGTGGTTCCCCCATGCTGTTCTCATGATAGTGAGTGAATTCTCACAAGATCTGATAGTTTCAAAGTGTTGCACTTCCCCCTTTACTCTCTGTCTTTCCTGCCACCATGAAAGACGTGCCTTATTTCCCCTTCACCTTCTGCCATGATTGAAAGTCTCCTGAGGTGTCCCCAGCCATGTGGAACTGTGAGTCAATTAAACCTCTTTCCTTTGTAAATTACCCAGTCTCAGGTAGTTCTTTGTAACACTGTAAAAACATACCAATACAGAAAATTGGTACCAGGAGTTTGCAGCCAAATGTTAATAGCCAAGATAATGGGGAAAATGTTTCCAGGGCATTTCAGAGATGTTTGTTGCAGCCCCTCCCATCACAGACCCAGAAGCCTAGGAGGGAAAAGTGGTTTCATGGACTGGGCCCAGGGCCCCACTGCTCTGTGCATCCTTGGGCCATGGTGCCCTGCAACCCAGCTGCTCCAGCTCCAGCTGTGGCTAAAAGGGGCCAAGGTACACCTCAGGTCATTGCTTCACAGGGTGCAAGCCCCAAACCTTGATAGCTTCCACATGGTGTTGAGCCTGCGGGTGCACAGAAGACAAGAACTGAGACTTGGGAATCTTCACCTCAGTTTCAGAGGATATATAAACACCTGGATGTCCAGGTAGAAATTTACATTCACAAATGTGTAGATGTGTGGGCATGAGAAAGTTACATAAAATGGGGATGTATTAGTCCTTTTTCATACTGCTATAAATAATGACCTGAGACTGTAAATGAAGAGAAGATCTGGAGCATGCTTCAAAAGGGTGATGTCTTAGGAGACAGGACTGTGCTAAGAGGGTGAACAGGTTCTTCACTTGTTTCCTCTGTGTAGTGGGACTGTGTTGTTTCGAAGTTGGTCTAGAAACATGGACAACAATTGTAGTTTTAAAAATACATAAAGAAAAAATAACAAACTAAATTTAACTAATATACCTTTCTACCAGATCCTTGAGTTGTACCAAATCATAGAAAGACTATATCATGAGAGGATGAGTCTGATCCAAGACAGGGCCTCCATACCTCAGCCACAAGGCACTCCTCTCCTGGCCTGTTTACCCAGTCACAAGACTCAGCAGTCAAAAATGTGCAACCTGGAAAAAAGTCATATTAGCCTCACAACTTTCCCATTTTATTCTTAAAGTAGAGAAATTCAGAATTATTCCTATAATAAATCATTGGAAAATAAACTATGCATGAAGACTCTTTATTCATTCCCTACTTGCCAACCATTTATGGAGAGTTCAGGCAGTCTCTGGATGCTAAGGATGGAAGACAGTACCTTCCCTCATCGAGCATATAATCTAGTAGGTAGGGTGACAGCATTAAACAAGAAATTTCAGTATTGGTCATCAGAGCTATGATGGGTACACTTCAGGGCATTATGAAAGTGCACACCAGGGCTGCCAGAGCTAGTTAACGGGTCCTGAGAGGCCTCTGTGAGGAAATGACATTGAAGCTGAAGACCTATAGGAGTTACCCAGGTGAGTGGAGATAGGAATGAGGGGTGAAGAGTGGGAACACTTCAGGCAGAGGAACAACATAGGCCAAAGCCTGGAAAGAAGAGTGAGCATGGTTAATTTGAGGAAATGAAATAAATCCTGCAAGAGCTACTGAAGAAAACAAGGAGAGAGTTGACTGAGGTATTGAAGGAAGGAGGGCAGGATGGGAGGAATTTGCAAACCATGCTAAAGATGTTAGACTTCATGGGGAGCCATAAAGTGACTGAAACAGGACAGTGACATGATCAGATTCGCATTTTAAATGGATTCTGGCTGCCCTGTGACGAATAGAGGGGAACAGTACTGACCACAGGCAGACCTACTAGGGAAGTTTTCACAACAGACAGGCAGGTGCTGATGTTGCCTTGAAGTAGGGTGGCAGAGACAGAAAGAAGTAGATGGGCACCAAAGGACATATAATCAGTAAGAACTGTGGGAACCTGAATGTGGGTGGAGAAAGAAGGGAAGAGTAGGGGTTGACTCCCTATGGTGGATTAAATGGTGGCCCCTGAAAGGTGTGTCCATATCCTAACCCCCGAAACCTAAGAATGTGACCTTATTTAGAAGTCTTTGAGGATATAATTAAGGATATTAAGATGAGATCATTCTAGATTATCCAATTGAGCTCTAAATCCAATGACAAATGTCCTTATAAAAGACACACAGAGTACAGAGGCCAAGTTGGAGAAGGCCATGTGAAGATGTACGCAGAGATTGGAGCAATGCAGCCACAAGCCAAGGAATGCTTGGAGCCACTGCAGCAACAGGCAAAAAAGGATTCTCCCCCAGAGCCTTCAGAGGGACCATGGACCTTCTAGCCTTCAGAACTGTGAAATCATCATCTTTAGTTGCTTAAAACTAGTACATTTGTTGAGGCAGCTCTAGGAAATGAATATACTTTCCAGTTGCTGGCTGGATCAGCAAGTGCAGTGGTCCCCAACCTTTTTGGCACCAGGAACCAATTTCATGGAAGACTATTTTTCCATGGACCAGGTAGGAGGATGGTTTCAGGACGATTCAAATGCATTACATTTATGGTGTACTTTAGGAAATAATAATACAACTCACCATAATGCAGATTCAGTGAGAGCTCTGAGCTTGTTTTCCTGCAACTAGACAGTCCCATCTGAGGGTGATGGGAGACAGTGGCAGATCATCAGGCATTAGATTCTCCTAAGGAGCATACAACTTAGATCCCTCACATGCACAGTCCACAACAGGGTTCACACTTCTATGAGAATATAATGCCACCCTTGATCTGGCAGGAGGTGAAGCTCAGGTGGTAATGCTCACTCACTGCTGCTCACCTCCTGTTGTTCAGCCCAGTTCCTAACTGGCCACTGACCAGTACTAGTCTGTGGCCCAGGGCTTAGGGATCCTAAGTTAGTGGATACAGGTGCCATTTACTGAGACAGGAAATAGAGGAAAAGCAATTTGAAGGCCAGATGACTTCAGCTTCAAATGTGCTGAATTTGCAGGGCCTGGGAAGCAGTGAAGTGTAGGCATCCTTTTACATGGAGCCATTCCACCGTCACAGCTGCCTGACCATTTGTGGCAGCCCTGGCTCCAAAAGGCAGTGAGATAGATGGATTTGAGACCTGGGCAGGAGGTTCACATTGGAGTTCTAGGTTTGAGAACTTCCAACATATATTCCTGGATTAAAGTAATGCAAGTAAAAGCCGTTGTTTGGGGAAATCCCACAGAAGTGGAAGGCCTGGGACTACTCTGAAGAGTGGCAAGTATGTGAGCCACTGAGAAAGGAAACTGAGAAGGACATGAAAAATGGTCAGGGGTTCAGAACAGAACTAGACAGAGGAATCTTTTAATTATTACAGAGTTAAAAAATGATCTTTATGAAATTGCAGATAAAGTTGATAAAAATAATTTACATATTTGTGTTTTAGAGCTTCTGTTAGTAAAGAAGAAAGAAGTCAATAGTGCATGCTATATATCATAGTTCAGGCTAGACATGGAGAAGAATAAAATCTCACTATGACATTGCTATACTTTGACTGTGACTGTGTGCTCAGCAGGTAAAGTTAAGCTTTCATTTAAAATCTACTTTTTAAATCTACTTAGCTACTCTGGAGACAATGCTCTTGCTTAGACTGAATGGTCTGTGGAAGAGAAGTAAAATGATACACAGGTAAGATGAAGAAAAAATGACCATGTAAACACAACATGAAAAAGATCTAAGATTGTGATAGGTTAAATTGAGTTGTGAATTAGAAATTCAGAGCTACCTCTTAACTAATCAAGCAGAATAAAAGCATCACTCCCCAAACAAAAACCAGCATGAAAAGATGCACAAGAATCCAGCATAGCCCCTCACACACAGAAAGTATCTAATTAACATGAATTTCCTCCAAGTTTCCTAAGGTCTATCACTGAAACTTATACATGAAAATATAATAATTTTGATATGTTAATTCATTTTCCTCTGATATTTGGTATTGCTCACACCTTTATTTAACAAGAGCAACAACTACAACAGTGAAAGTGAGGCAAGATGAAGTAGAAATGAAGACACCAAGGTGAGATGAGGTCAGATGGAGGTGGGTAGGGCCAGGGGAGGGCAGATCATGTGGGACCTTCCAGGCCATTGTAAGTGTTTTAGACTTTATTCCCAGTGATACTGAAAGCCTGTGGGTGGTTTTGAAACAGTATGATTAATATTATTTTAACAACAGTACACAGTTATGAATCAATAAACATTCTAAATCCATACATATTAAAACAGTAAATAAGTATTATAAGAACTTTTTAGATTGCTTAAGCCTTCATAACTTTCCTAATGTTTGTTATTCTTGTGACCTCTTATCTGCTTATTTGGGTTGAAAAGACATCTTGATATATGAAGTGTATTTATAGTTTAAACAATAAATCTGTGCGTTTATTTTGGAGAAAGTAAGGAAGAACAGGGTCTGTTGTGTGAAGTCTCATGGGTAAGGAAGAACCCCCAAGACAGAGAGGGTGGAGAGGGTGGAGAGGGAGAGGTTGGAGAGGGAGAAAGGAGGAGAAGAAGAGAGGGGGAGAGGGGGAGAGGGGGAGAGGGGGAGGAGCCAAAATCTGTGCGCTGTAGTTGAGAGGCAATTTTCCACCCGTCTTTCACATTTCTGTATGCCTTTCAAACAAAGACACTGACGGTCTTTCCTCCAGAAAGGATTTTTATGCAACAAAAGCCTTGGAAGACAGAGATGGTGTCTCTTTCAAGAGAAAACGAAAGGCATGCTTATTTCCCATTAGTATTATTTCAATAACAGTACACAATAAATGTTGATCCTTTATATCTGGATTTGGATGCCTTTAGCTCAGACTACATCTTGTGTAATGCAAGCCACTGTATATCTAGGTATTTCCTGGCCCTGATCACACAGCTCCTGTGGGACCTGGGGGCAAGGAGAATGGATGCAAGAAAATGTGAATACACTGGATGTTACTATTAACATGAGTAATAAGTCCTTTGTCTCTGACCCAGGAGTCATGTGTCTTCCGCCAGCACCCATGAAACTGTGGCAGGCTGACTAACTAGCCTGCATGTAGGATAAAAATCTCAGACATCCTATAGTGCTTGATACAAATGGGAGTGAGACCAAAGCCCAGCAGTGGTCAAGGACTTAAGCAGAGGTAATTCCCTGATACCTTGGGATGTTTTAGTCTTAAAGCAGTGGTTCTCAACCAGGGATGATTTTGCCTCTCAGGGGATATTTGGCAATGTCTGGGAACACTTATGATTGTCACAACTGAAGTATGCTACTGGCATCTAGTGGGTAGAGGCCAAGGATGCTGCTGAACATCATATGATATGCAGGGCACCACACACACACAACAACAACAAAATGACTTGCATCTCCAAATATCAACAGTGTTGAGGATGAGAAATTCTGACCTCAGTCAAAGAGACCATATAATCAAAACAAGCACAATAGAGGCCAAAGAGAAATGTGACCCTACTCCTGCCCTGGAGGAGCTCTTGACCTCACTCTAGTGTTTATCTTTTCCTTCTGACGTCTGTTTCTGTTCATCCCATATGCCCCCTTCCCTCACTCCCATCACTGTTACCTGCTCTTAGTCATCCTATGTCCATCACCCATAATCATCCTCTGGGTTCATTCATTATGGCATAAAAAGTTAGACACCATACCATAAAATTAAGGTCACACAGGAACCCTATGACTGGGTCAGGAAAGGAAACTGCTCACCGGGTCTTGCCCAGACAACCCTTCAGCTATGAAATGCCTGGGGTGTTTAAGAAACAGCAAAGTGACCCATGTGGCCAGAGTGGAGTAAGCAAGGGAAAGAGTGGTAGAAGACGAGGTTGGAAAGGTGATGGCAAAGGGACAGACTGCCAAGGGCAGAGCTCCTCAAACTTTAACATGCATGTGAATCACCTAGGGGATTTGCTCAAAGCAGGTTCTGATTCTGTAGACCTAGGAGGGACACGTGATTTTCTACTTCTAAGGAGCTCCAATGTTAATGCTTTTAGAAAATGGGCCATATACAAGTACAAGAGTATAGGGTCTCATAGGACTTTGCCAGAACTCTAGCTTTTACTCTGAAAAGATGGAATGCTGCTGGAGGGTTATGAGCAAGAAATTATGTAATTTGATATTTCAACAGGACTGTCTGACCTCTGTTTTAAGAATATTGAGTACTCAAGAGGAATAAACACACATTTTCATTCATAGCAGCAATCGTCATAGGAATTAATCCACATGACCATCAACAGAATGGATAATTATGGTATATTCATATAATGGAATACCAAAGCATGGAGAAAATGAATTACTTCTACAAGCAACAATGTAGATGAATTTCACAGATGCAATGTTGAATGAAGAAAAAAACAGATATAATACAGTATATACTGTATGGTCCCATATATATGGATTATTAAAATAGGCAAAATTAATTTACGGGGATAGAAGTCTAGAGAGTGGTTGCTTTTAGCAGTGACAGAGGCAGGAGGAAGCCTCCTGGGAGGGGGGTGCTGGGAATGATCTATCTTTTGATCTGGGTGTTAAGTACACAGGTATAAACATCTGTAGAAATCAAGCTGTACAATTAAGATTTATGCACATCACTATGTTTATGTTATATTTTAATGTAAAAAGAAAGGGAGGAGCTATTGTAGAGGGGCAAGGGTAAAAACAGGGAGAGCAGTTAGGAGGCTATAGCACTAATCCAGGCAACAGATAAGGGTCTAGAGTGACACCAATGAAGATGGTGAGAAGTGGTTGGATTCTGGATATATTTGGAATAGGGAGCTGAAATGATTTTCTGATAGACTGGATAGAGGTGATATGATATGACAAGCAGGCAGTTTGGTATAGCAGTCTGTAGTTGTGGCCAAATTAATGTGAAGGCATCAGTTATGTGACTGGTATTTGAATTTATGACACTGGATGAGATCCCCCTGGAAGCGAGTATAGATGGTGAAAAGACAATGGCAATCTGAGCCAGGGCCACTCCAGGAAATGTGTAACAGTAAGGGAGAAGAGAAGGCAAAGGAGACTGAGACAGAATGGTCAGGGAGACAGAGAGAGACCCAGGAAGTTTATTGAATGTTTCTCAATGAGGGAGTGATCAACTATGTCAAAAGTTGCTGAGAAATTAGGTGAGTTGAGCACTGAGACATAGCAAGCTTGTCAATGATTAGTAAACATCTAAAATCATGCCTGTCACAGAGAAAGCACTCAATAAATATCATAGGATATATGCAGATGATACATGAAAATCTATATAAACTCACTGTTCTTGGCAAGAGATATGTTTATATCGAAGAAAATAACAAGTCTTCAGAAATTGGCCTACTCTTTTATTCTTTCCCCAACCTTTCACATTTTGACTTAAAATGAGCAAGTAGAGAGGATCTTATCTCCCTTTGGAAAAGCCCAAGGGCACGTGTCTAGCCCTTAGTCACCCAGGTCCTAAAGGCCATGAAGAAATGAAGTGTTCCCTTGCCCTGTTCTGTAATTTCTGCTCAAACTTGTAATGAAATGTCTCTCTTTAGAGAAATAGGACTTCCACTTACTCAACCTCTCTGTGCTTCAGTTTCCTCATCTGCAAAGCAGGAATAATAAAAGTGCCAATCTCATAATTTGTTACAAAGATTAGAGGTGTCAATATAGGTGAATAACTTACAACAGCATCCAGCACATGCAAGTCCTAAATAACTACTAGATATTTATGATATTGTCATGATATTGTCAATATCCTCCAGCTGAAGGTTCCAGGAACATACCTATAGTTGGTAAAGTTGGCTTATTGGCTTTTGCAATGAAGAAAACACACACCATGGGGAACTGTGGGGTGTCTCAGTAAGAGGGTATTAGAGAGGACTTAACATAGAACATGGACTTGTGTTAGATGATTTGGGGGAAGGCTCAAAGATGATCTGGATTGAATGCTGTCAGGAAGTGGCCATAGTTCTATGAGGGGATATCTTAAGATTCACTTAGGAGTTGGGAGAAGATCCAAGATGGCTGTTTAGGAGCAGCTCAGGATTGCAGCTCCCAGTGAAAGTGCAGAGGGTGACTGGATGCCAAATTTCCAGACAGATCTTTATTGCCCACAGACCAGGAGATTCCCAGGCAGAGGAGCCCCATGGGTCACCAGCATGGCTGTTATGGCTGACGCGGCTGTTTTGCCAGTGCCCCGGCAGGGCAGTTCTCCACACAAAATACACTGGTCTGGTGGCCCTTGTAAGCTGGAGATTGGAGCTCAGGAAGGGCAGAGTCACCCACTCATCTGATTAAACAGGAGACTGAAACAGGGAGCCAGGCCAGAAGATTCCCGGGCAAAAAAGCACCACGAATTTCAGCACCGCTGTTTCAGCTGGTACAGTGGGTCGCCACACGGGAAACCACACAGATCCTGGTGCCTTTTCAGCAGGTGACTGGAACACCTGGGAGAAAGTCAACCATTCAACTTAAAAAAAAAAAAGGATCTGAGACAGGGAGCCAGGTGATCAGGCTTGGTGGGTCCCACTCCCACAAAAATGACACAAACAAAAAAAGCCATTGGAACCGCTCTGGATTGAGAGTTTCACAGCAAGCACAGCTGAACCCAGGACAGTCCAGCTCTTGGGGGAGGGGCATTCATCATTAACGAGGCACTCCACCCCTATGGAGGTAGTCCACCATTGCTGAGGCAGCCCACCGTTGCTGAGGCAGCCCGCCATTGCTGAGGCAACCTGCCATTACAGAGAGAGTCTGCCATTACAGAGGTGGGCCACCATTGCAGAGGCAGTTTTAATCATACCCATATAAACAGGACTGCAGAGAAGTTCACATGGCAGCAGGGTGGAGCCCACAGCAACTCAGCAAAGCTTCTACAGGCAGACAGTGACTAGGTTGGCTCCTTGCTGGGCAGGGCAGCCCTGATAAAAAAGGCAGCAGCACAATGGAAACTCATAAATAAAGCCCTAACTCCCCAGGACAGAGCACCTGGGGAAAAAAAAAGGGTTTATGAGTTCTGTTGCAGCTGACTTAAACGTACCTGCCCAGCAGCTCTGAATGAACAACGGAGCTCACAGCTCAGCACTTGAGCTCCTATAAAGGACAGACTGTCTCCTCAAGCAGCTCCCTGACCCCCATAGCGTCACCTCACAAAGGACCGATCAGACTGACATTTGGCGGGCATCATTCTCGGGCAAAGATAGCAGAAGAAGAAACTGTCAGCAACCCTTACTGTTCGGCAGCTGCTGCAGGTGATCCCCAGGCAAGCAGGGCCTGGAGTGGACCTCAGCAGTCCTACAGCCGAGGGGCCAGACTGTTAGAAGGTTAACTAAGAAACAGAAAAAACTTCATCATCAACAAACTGGATGTCCACTCAGAGACCCAATCTGAAAATCAGCAACTACAAAGACGACAGGTGAATAAACCCACAAAGATGGGAAGAAACCAGTGCAAAAAGGAGGAAAACACCCAAAACCAGAACACCTCTCCTCCTCCAAGGGCTCACAACTTCTCACCAGCAAGGGAACAAGGCAGGATGGAGAATGAGTGTGATGAAATGACAGAATCAGACTTCAGAAGGTGGGTAACGAGAAACTTCTGTGAGCTAACAAAATGCAAAGAAACTAAGAACCTTGAAAAAAGATTTGATGAAATGCTAATGAGAATGGACAACATAGAGAGGAATATAAGTGAATAGATGGAACTGAAAAACACAACACGAGAACTTCACGAAGCATGCACAAGTTTCAACAGCTGAATTGACCAAGCAGAAGAAAGGATACCAGAGGTTGAAGATCAACTCAATGTAATAAAACAAGAAGGCAAGATTAGAGAAAAAAAGCATAAAAAGGAACGAACAAAGTCTGCAAGAAATATGGGATTATGTGAAAAGACCTAATCTGCGTTTGATAGGGATACCTGAATGTGACGAAGAGAAAGAATCCAAGCTGGAAAACACTCTTCAGGATATTATCCAGGAAAACTTCCCCAACCTAGCAAGGCAGGCCAATATTCAACTCCAGGAAATACGGAGAACACCACAAAGATATTCCTCAAGAAGAGCAACCCCAAGGCACATAATTGTCAGATTCACCAGGGTCGAAATGAAGGAAAAAATCCTAAGGGCAGCCAGAGAGAAAGGTCAGGTTACCCACAAAGGGAAGCCCATCAGACTCACAGCAGATCTCTCAGCAGAAACCCTACAAGCCAGAAGAGAGTGGGGGCCAATATTCAACATCCTTAAAGAAAAGAACTTTCAACCAAGAATTTCATATCCAGCCAAACTAAGCTTCATAAGTACTTGCGAATAAGTAAGTACTCAGAAATTTTGTCACCACCAGGCCTGCTTTATAAGAGCTCCTGAAAGAGGCACTACATATAGAAAGGAACAAACAGTACTAGCCACTCCAAAAAACATACCAAATGGTAAAGAACATCAACAAAATGAAGAATCTGCATCAACTAACAAGCAAAACAGCTGGCTAGCATCAAAATGGCAGGATCAAATTCACACATAACAATATTAACCCTAAATGTAAATGGACTAAATGTCCCAATCAAAAGACACAGACTGGCTAATTGGATAAAAAGCCAAAACCCATTGGTGTGCTATATCCAGGAAACCCATCTCACATGCAAGGATACACAAAGGCTCAAAATAAAGGGATGGAGGAAGATTTGCCAAGCAAATGGAGAGCAAATAAAAGCAGGAGTTGCAATTCTCGTCTCTGATAAAATAGACTTTAAAGCAACAAAGATCAAAAGAGACAAAGAAGGACATTACATAATGGTAAAAGGATCGATGCAACAAGAAGAGCTAACGATCCTAAATATATACTCACCCAATACAGGAGCACCCAGATACATAAGGCAAGTTCTTAATGACTTACAAAAAGTAATAGTGGGAGACTTTAACACCCCATTGTCAATATTAGACAGATCAACTGGACAGAAAATTAACAAGGATATCCAGGACTTGAACGCAGACCTGGAACAAGCAAACCTGATAGACATTTACAGAACTCTCCACCCCAAATCCACAGAATATACATTCTTCTCAGCACCACATCACACCTACTCTAAAATTGATCACATACTTGGAAGTAAATCACTCCTCAGCAAATGCAAAAGAACGGAAATCATAACAAACAATCTTTCAGACCATAGTGCAATCAAGTGAGAACTCAGAATTCAGAAACTAACTCAGAACCACACAGTTTCATGGAAACTGAACAACGGGTTCTTGAATGTTGACTGGATGAACAATGAAATGAAGGCAGAAATAAAGATGTTCTTTGAAACCAACAAGAACAAAGACACAACATACCCAGAATCTCAGAAACACATTGAAAGCAGTCTCTAGGGGAAAATATATAGCAATAAGTGCCCACATGAGAAGCAAGGAAACATCCAAAATTGACACCCTATTGTCAAAATTGAAAGAGCTAGAGGAGCAAGATCAAAAAAACTCAAAACCTAGTAGAAGACAAGAAATAACTAAGATCAGAGCAGAACTGATGGAGATAGAGACACAAAAAAACCCTTCAAAAAATCAATAAATCCAAGAGCTGGTTTTTAAAACAGGTCAACAAAATAGACAGACCTCTAGCCAGATTAATAAAAAAGAAAAGAGAGAATAACCAAATAGATGCAATAAAAAACGATAAAGGGGATATCACCACAGATTCCACAGAAATTCAAACCATCATCAGAGATTATTACAAACAACTCTATGCACATAAACTAGTAAACCTGGAAGAAATGGATAAATTCCTGGACACTTGCATCCTCCCAAGCCTAAACCAGGAAGAAATCGAAACCCTGAAGAGATCAATAACAAGATCTGAGGTTGAGGCAGCAATTAAGAGCCTACCACCCAGAAAAAGCCCAGGTCCAGATGGGTTCACAGCCGAATTCTACCAGACATACAAAAAGGAGCTGGTACCATTCCTTCTGAAACTATTCCAAATAATCCAAAAAGAGGGAATCCTTCTCAAATCATTTTATGAGACCAATATCATCCTGATACCAAAACCCAGCAGAAATTCAACAAGAAAAGAAAACTTCAGGCCAATATCCATGATGAACACAGACGCAAAAATCTTCAAGAAAATACTGGCAAACCAATTGCAACTGCACATCAAAAAGCTTTTCCACCATGATCAAGTAGGATTCATGCTGGGGATGCAAGGCTGGTTAAACATATGCAAGTCTGTAAAAGTAATTCACCACATAAACAGAACCAAAGACAAAAACCACATGATTATCTCAATTGATGCAGAGAAGGCCTTTGACAAAATTCAACAGCTCTTTATGCTAGAAACCCTCAATAAACTAGGTATTGATGGAACATATTTCAAAATAATAAAAGCTATTTATGACAAACCAACAGCCAATATCTTATTGAATGGGCAAAAACTGGAAGCATTCCCTTTGATATCTGGCACTAGACAAGGATGCCCTCTCTCACCACTTCTATTCGATATAGTACTGGAATTTCTAGCCAGAGCAATCACGCAAGAACAAGAAATAAAGGGTATTCAAATAGGAAAGGAGGAAGCCAAATTGTCTCTATTTGCAGGCAACATGATTGTAAATCTAGAAGACCCCGTCGTCTCAGGACAAAATCTCCTGAAACTGATAAGCAAATTCAGCAAAGTCTCAGGATACAAAATCAATGTACAAAAATCACAAGCATTCCTATACACCAATAACAGATTTAAAGAGAGCCAAATCAAGAACGAACTGCCATTCACAATTGCTACAAAGAGAATAAAATACCTAGGAATACAACTCACAAGGAATGTAAAGGACCTCTTCAAGGAAAACTACAAACCACTGCTCAATGAAATAAGAGAGGACACAAACAGATGGAGAAACATTCCATGTTCATGGTTAGGAAGAATCAATATCGTGAAAATGGCCATACTGCACAAAGTAACTTACAGATTCAACGCTATCCCCATCAAGCTACCAATGACCTTCTTCACAGAACTGGAAAAAAACACCTTAAACTTCATATGTAACCAAATGAGAGCCCGCATAGCCAAGTCAATTCTAATCAAAAAGAACAAAGTAGGAGGCATCACACTACCAGACTTCAAACTATACTACAAGGCTACAGTAATCAAAACAGCATGGTACTAGTACCAAAACAGAGATATAGACCAATGGAACAGAACAGACGCCTTGGAGGCAACACAACATAACTACAACCATCCGATCTTTGACAAACCTGGCAAAAACAAGCAATGGGGAAAGGATTCCTTGTTTAATAAATGGTGTTGGGAAAACTGGGTAGCCATGTGCAGAAAGCAGAAACTGGACCCCTTCCTGACACCTTATACTAAAATTAACTCCAGATGGATTAAAGACTTAAACATAAGACCTAACACCATAAAAACCCTAGAAGAAAATCTAGGCAAAACCATTCAGGACATAAGAGCAGGCAAGGACTCCATAACCAAAATACCAAAAGCATTGGCAACAAAAGCCAAAATAGACAAACGGGACCTAATCAAACTCCACAGCTTCTGCACAGCAAAAGAAACAGTCATTAGAGTGAATCAGCAACCAACAGAATAGGAAAAATTTTTGCAGTTTACCCATCTGACAAAGGGCTGATATCTAGAATTTACAAAGAACTAAAACAGATTTACAAGAACAAAACAAACAAGCCCATTCAAAAGTGGGCAAAGGATATGAACAGACACTTTACAAAAGAAGACATACATGAGGCCAACAAACATATGAAAAAATGCTCATCCTCACTGGTCTTTAGAGAAACACAAATCAAAACTACATTGAGATACCATGTCACACCAGTTAATATGGTGATCATTAAAAAATCTGGAAACAACAGAGGCCGGAGAGGATGTGGAGAAATAGGAACCCTCTTACACTGCTGGTGGGAGTGTAAATTAGTTCAACCATTGTGGAAGACAGTGTGGTGATTCCTCAACGACCTAAAAATAGAAATTCCATTTGACCCAGCAATCCCATTACTGGGTATATATCCAAAGGATTATAAATCATTCTACTATAAGGACACATGCACACAAATGTTCATTGCAGAACTGTTTACAATAGCAAAGACCTGGAACCAACCCAAATGCCCATTGATGACAGGCTGGATAGGGAAAATGTGGCACATATACACCATGGAATATTATGCAGACATCAAAAACGATGAGTTTGTGTCCTTTGTAGGGACATGGATGAACCTGGAGACCATCATTCTCAGCAAACTGATACAAGAACAGAAAATGAAATACTGCATGTTCTCACTCATTGGCAGGTGTTGAACAATGAGAACACATGGACACAGGGAGGGGAGCACTATACACTGGGGTCTGTTGGGGGGAATAGAGGAGGGTCAGCGCGGGGTGGGGAGTTAGGGAGAGATAGCATGAGGAGAAATGCTAGATATAGGTGAAGGGGAGGAAGGCAGCAAATCACACTGCCACGTGTGTACTTATGCAACAATCTTCCATGTTCTTCACATGTACTCCAAAACCTAAAATGCAATTAAAAGAAAAAGATTCACTTAGAAGCAGGAAGAAAAAAGCAGGTAAGAGTTATAAATAGTAAGCCTGCAGCAGCACTGCTATTAGTCAGCATGGGGGAACACTTGGTTATTTCTCTGGTTTGGACAACATTCATATGGTTGTTAGTGTTCTGGCATGACTATAGAATGGTCTTGTTTTATGTCTTTATCCATCATGGTCACAGCATGGCCTTGTCTGATGGTGGCAATCTGTGAAATTGTTTATGTTTTGCAGGAAAACTTGATGGTCTAGCTGATAGGACCAGGTCAGCCCCCACCTGTCAGGGTATGTATAAAATGCCATGTGCTTTGACGGGGGTCATTAAAAGACTTTGGAAAGCCTTTCCATTTCCTCCAGCACCACCTGAATAATGAGTCATCAGAGGAAACCTGGGGAGGTGGGCAGAGAGGTGTAACTAATCTAGGAAGATCCCAATTGCTTAGTCCTAGACATCCTCATCTTCTTTGCTTTGCAAATGATTCACTGAAACCTCTCAGAAGGGGTTGGGAATTTTGTAGGTGACCCCAGACAAATTTACGGAGAAAACAAAATGAGACAGGAGTTTGTTGGCCTGCCTTCCACGATAAAATGGCATTCTTCCTAGTGACTGAAGGTCATCATAAAGACAAAGTAGAGAAACCAGCTTCACAGTAAGTGAAACAAACGTTCATTAAAGGACAGCACCTGTGGGAACTCCCAGCGAGAATGCACATCAGGAAAGCTGAACTGCCAGGACATGTATCAAGGAGGAGTTAGCAACAAGGGTATGATTTCCAGGGACCTGAAAGGAAAAGTACCCAGGAAGGTTGGTACATCATGGCCAGAAGCACCAGGAAGGTGCCATTGGGGTCAGAGAGTCATTGAGGAAATCTAGTGGGTCAGAGGAACCAATGCAGGCTGTCTAGAAGGTTCTAAAATCCAGATACCAGCCCTGGTCTGCTTCAGGATGGGAGGGTATTTTTGTTTAAAATACCAGCAATTGGGCCGGGCAAGGTGGCTCATGCCTATAATCCCAGCACTTTGGGAGGCCAGGGAGGGTGGATCACCAGAGGTCAGGAGTTCGAGACCAGCCTGTCCAACATGGTGGAACCCCATCTCTACTAAATACAAAAAAGTTAGGCAGGCATGATGGTACATGCCTGGAATCCCAGCTACTTGGGAGGCAGAGGCAGGAGAATCACTTGAACCCAGGAGGCAGAGGTTGCAGTGAGCAGACTGCGCTATTGTACTCCAGCCTGGGCAACAAGAAAAAAACTGTCTCAAAAAAAAAAAACCAAAAACTTAGCAATTGTCAACCCTGTGACTAGTTCAGTTCTTGTTTACATTTCGCCTTTCTCCATGTAAAATATGCCCTGAAAAACCACAAAACTGCCCGAGGAAGACCTAGACATGACATGCTTATGAGAATTTATTAAGGCAGCCTCATGCCGGAACAGTTTCAAAATTTGAAAGATCACAGGAGGGGCCAAACAGAGTGGCTTCAGGCAGAGAGAGTCAGAGGCAGGTTGTGGGGGCTGAAGACCCTTCCCACCTGGGCTCTGTCCCAGAGTTCAAAGGCAGAATGCAAACGCTATCACATCATTCTCACCTTTCCTCTACAAACCATGTTTATTCTTCTTGGCATTTCATAATTCAGCAAATCAAGCTGGGGTTAATGGCTTTGGAGCCAGAGAGACCCAGATCTCTAACTCAGGCACCTTCAGGTAATCGTTACCTGATCTCAACCATGGTATTCCTCTAAACTGCAGCTCCCCCAATGTACCCTGTCACTCCTACCTTGCAAACTGTTGTGTGACTTAGAGATAATATGTGTAAAAAGGCAAGCCCAGCTGTAGCCAACAAAGAAAAATAATACTGAGTCAAGTTTACAGCTGTGCTGCTTTTCATATATGATATCAAGTGGAGATTTTTAAAATGTCTTCAAAACACAAAATGACTATATCTTCAAAAAGAAAAAAACTTCTATTTACTAACATAATTCTCCATTGTCAGAAAATTATAATAAGGGGGACATTAGTGGTTGATTTTTGGGTTTTGGGGTGCTTTTTTCCATCATTAGGTCTTTCCACCCTAAATATCAAAGCAGCAGGATTTTCTAAAAACAATTAAAGGATTCACAGCACATCCCAATAGCCAGAAAAGTACTTTGCTGAATTGGTGTTGGTGACAAAAGACTTTAAAAACTTGATTCAAATGGTTAAATGTGTGTGTGCATATAGTATTATTAACTTTATCAAAAATCACTGATTTGAGGCAACTCTGTATAATGCGATATGGTTTTAATTTGTGCTAATTCAAAATAAGAGTATTTATCTTTGAAGCAGTTGCAATTTATGGCATTTGGTTTCTTGGAGTAGAACAGAAAGCAGCCAACATGTCTTAAAAACATTGCCTGGGAAGTAAAAGCTAAGATAAGAAAAGGAAGTCATCCTGCTGCAATACTAGTTTCACCTAGATTATCACAATACTTCTCTTGAGGACAGCATATTTTGATTTCATATCAGAAAATTCCATAAAATGCTGCTGGGTACAAAGATGATGCCACATTGGCCATGTCTTTGGCCTTTGATCAGAAGCAGTGATAAACTGGTGTAGACCAAACTCTGCTCTCTCCACGTCACTCTGTAATCAGTGACACACATTTTGGAGACTGTCCCCCAGAATAAAAGGCAGAGTTTGTGGCCTTGAAGCAAGAATAAGGCTAGCCCTTTTCCATGGATGAACTAATAAACAAAGCAGGAGCCCCACAGGTGTCTTGACAGGGTCAATCATATTCACGCATTGTCTAACTCAGCTGTCCTTAAACTTTTAGCAAGCCAAGACACCTCAAAGCTAGTGACTTACTAGGTTCTCTGTAGGACTTGGGGGAAGGAGTATTGGCTGGAAAGCCTGTGCAGGCAATTTGGATGCCCCTCCCCTCCCTCACTGCTTCCATGCAGAAGTAGACAAGGGCATATTCCTCTCAGTTGGACAATTTGAGGCTGATCTTAGCTGCGAGGATGCACAGAGGTGAGAAGTTGGCCTGGCTTGGGCAACACTAAACTCATCTCTTAGAGCTCTGACATATATACCATGAGACCTAAAGGGGGAAAGTATGTGAGGCAGCAACAAGGCTAAGCATGCTGAACACATTGAGACAAATTTCGAGTTTTCTGTGCCTAACTTTGGGTTTTTTCCCATTTAAATCTTAGACACTGTAATAGCAGTTATATTATCTGGTCTCAGGACTACTCCAGAGAGGTGCTTTTAGGATAAATTGATATTTGTCAAGTTGTTATAGATGTTTGCAATAAAGAGATGGTCATAATTATCATAATTCTGATTAATTGCTTAGGGTTAGTATATTGATATAAATGAATTGCCATTGACAATCAGTCCCAGAAGGATGTATTATTTATTACCATAATTCATCTTAAATTGTATCTTAAAACTCCTAACACTTCTTATTCATTATTGTGAAATTATAATATGGTTATTCATAAAGCAAACTGCTTATGGCTAACTCACACTCTCACATTAGCATGTCTCAGCTAATGCATAAGCTTCATGAATTTTTGAAGCAGGAGGAGATAAACATTCCAATTCTGTAGTCAGACTCCTTGATTCGAATCTGGGCTCCCCTATATACCAGCTTATAACCTCAGGCAAGCTGCTTTACATCTTTGGGCTTTAGTTATCTCATCTATCAAAAGGAAATAATTAGATTTCCTTACTGAGTGATTATAAAATGAAATAAGAAAATACATAAAATGTTCAGACTAGTGACTGGCATTTAATAAGCACTCAGTAAAAATTAACTATTATTAGTATTTTTGGCATCTCCCTTTATTAAAATATCTGGATTAATTATTTTTTTTATTTATTTTTGAGACAGAGTCTCACTCTGTTGCCCAGGCTGTAGTGCAGTGGCACAGTCTTGGCTCACTGCAACCTCCACCTCCCAGGTTCAAGTGATTCTCCTGCTTCAGCTTCCTGAGTAACTGGAATTACAGGTGTGTGTCACCACACCTGGCTAATTTTTATATTTTTAGTAGGGACATGGTTTCACCAGGTTGGGCAGGCTGGTCTCAAACTCCTGGCCTTAGGTAATCTGCCTGCTTTGGCCTACCAAAGTACTGGGATTACAGGTGTGAGCCTCTGTGTCCAGCCAAAATTTCTGGATTTTAAAGACTATTTGCAACATTATAATAAGATGACTTTACCCTGCCATTTTTATTTTCTCCCTCAATGAGTGAAGTCGGGATAAAAAACACCCTTTTTGTTTCTCCTAGCATCTACACAATAACAAGAAATAGCTGGTTGGGAAAATGAACATCTCATAATAATACGAAATACATTTAAAAGCCTTCTATTTCCTATGCCTCTTGTTGATTTTTTATTATGGTTACTATGAAATATGTGGATTTTGGCCGGGCACGGTGGCTCACGCCTATAATCCCAGCACTTTGGAAGGCCGAGGCGGGTGGATCACGAGATCAACAGATCGAGACCATCCTGGTCAACAAGGTGAAACCTCATCTCTACTAAAAATACAAAAATTAGATGGGCATGGTGGTGCGCACCTGTAGTCCCAGCTATTCGGGAGAATGAGGCTGGAGAATTGCTTGAACCCAGAAGGCGGACGTTGCGGTGAGCCGAGATTGTACCATTGCACTCCAGTCTGGGTAACAACAGTGAAACCCCATCTCAAAAAAAAAAAAAAAAAAAAGAAATATGTGGATTAAAAAAAATAGCTTTAGCAGTTAAATGATGCTATATAACCCCAATATGGTAAGTGTAAATCTAACAGCAATTTCTTATTACTATACCTCTCAGAGAAGTTTCTTCTATAATTTAGTAAGGTCTCTCAATATTAATCTTTTTAATCAGCAACAGATGTGGACCGTCTCAAAGAGAATCACAGAACAAGAGAATTAACAATCTTAATTTTTTTCTTACCTATTGGTAAGGAAATGAGCTGTGCTGCTTATTTTCAATCTTTTGGATTCAGAAATTCTGAATCCATTGTTCAGAAATTCTGAATCCATTGGGACTAGTTTGTAGTTTTTGCTGAGGTTTCTATTTTTAAAAAATAAGCTGGGAATAAGAACGTGCTAACTCAAGGAATTAAGTAATTTCTTTCTAACAATATCTAACCATTTGCTGATTGAAAGTTGAGCTACTATTTTTTCTGTGTTGATTCCAAAGAGAAGTGATTTTCATTTTAAAGATTTTTAAAACTGACAATAAGAAAAAGGCCAACCAAATACAAATCTGTGCCTCCCTGGAAATGAATACTGAAAACTATACCCAGATGTTAGACGACCTGGGAAGAACAGCACTGTATAGTGCGATACATTCTCCTTCAGTTGGTGAATCTCTAGAAATAACCATCTCCCTAGCCCAGCATTCTATCTAGTGTTGCTACTTTTATTATTAACACCAAGTTTCATACAGATCCCTTTCCTAAGGAACTATTAACACGTTCATTACAAGTAACCTTTGGGAAGTGAAAGTTTCAAAGGCCAAATGACCTAGACGTTTTGATGTTGTGACTAAGATTTTTTTAATTCCTGGGAAGCAAAAGCAGGAAGCCTATTTGACTTCCTGATCAACTGAGGATCAGCAGGGAAGGCAGAGGAAGCAAGACATATTTACTAGTTTCTAACACAGCCATTGAGAAAAGAACAAGACGAGTGTCTCAGATGTAGTGAAGTAACGAGGGAGAAAACATAAACTGAATGAAACTTCCCTTCAGGACTTTTTTATGAGAAGTTTTTTTTAATATAACTTTTCATTTAGGAAAAAGTTCAAATATTGGATGCTATAAACAAAATTCACCATAGTTCCCTCTATCACTAATTCAAACATGTCTGTTTTTTTATTAACTCTCTTTTTGCTCAAGATAGACTACAGTGAAACTGTTTCCAAACAGCAAGCCAAATAGAAGCTGACTGCAATGGAGCCTCTGTGAAGGCAACGAGGGTGAGGGAAGGGGATAGAGAAGCCCCTATTCTGCAAGGCTTTGCAGCAAGGCTACCCATGCTATCTTGAAACATTCCAATTTTTTTGTTTTACAATTTATTAGAAGGCATTAAGACAATGGAACCTTACACTCAAAACATTACACTTGGATTTTCCTAGTGATGAAAAGACTTTGCAAAGGAAAAAAAAAACTTAATGAAAGATTATCTTCAAACAGATTATCTTCAAATAGGTGTAATATACAATTGGGGTTTTACAATTTTCAAGAGAAGTACTTGAGAACTAGTGGTAGTTAAGTTCATGTACAAATACATTAAGATGACAAACTTTATTAGGGTTTGGGTAAAGTTACTGATATATGCTACAGATATATGAAAATAAAAAAATGAATCTTCTCTATGACATTATTAGTCTGAGGCATTATATTAGTTTATTTACAATAACTGGCAAGCAAGCAACTCAGTCAATTACTGGTACTTCAAATCTGGACTTCAATCCAGAAATCACTGAAATCCTGGAGAGTAGTTCTGACCATCTTTCTGTGTAAATAACTTTGCACAATTATGAAGCAAGGCTCATTAAGAAATAAGAGTAGCATTTCCTTATGAAGTAAGAAAGTATGAAGAACTCATGTAGTAGAAGATAATAAATAAGCAGGTGAAAGAAGCATTAAACTTAAGAACATCTTTAAACAGTGTAAATTCCTTTGTATAACAATATTCACTGCTTGTCCTGGCATTTTCTTTTATCCACTGACCTATGGGACAGCATAATAAATTGGAAGCCTGTCTCTTGAAACAGGCAAAAAGAACCAAATCAAGATGTAGTTTCTTAATCCTAATTTGCATATTTTCATTTTTCCAAGGCATTTTTAAGTAAACATTGACAAAAAAGGTGGATTTTAAAACTTTGATTGAATACCATTAAGAAATACATTAGGGTTCATCCTCTAACTTAACACTTTTTTTCTTTTTTGAGGCAAAGTCTCACTCTGTCACTCAAACTGGAATTAAGGTGGCACAATCTTGGCTCAGTGCAACCTCCACCTCCCAGGTTCAAGGATTCTCCTGCCTCAGCCTCCCGGATAACTGGAACTACAGGCACACACCACGACACCCAGCTAATTTTTATACTTTTAATAGGGGTGGGGTTTCACTATGTTGGCCAGGCTGGTCTCAAATTCCTGACATCAGGTGATCCACCCACCTCACGCCTGTAATCCCAAAGTGCTGGGATTACAGGCGTGAGCCACCATGCTGGGCCACAACAGAATAATTTAAATAAAACATTTTCACATATGAAAAGTTGTTTTTAGTGTTGCATTTAAAGGCTCTTCATATCCAGAGGGCATTTGAAACTACTAAAGACTTTTTTTAAGAAGGGCAAAAACCTAGCAGAAAAATAGTTTTTCTTCTAGCTAGTCGGTGCTGGAAGATTGGGTAGAAATGACACATTTTATCATTATCATCTGAATGTAACAGATGGAAGCCAGCTATGGGTAAATCTACAACTACAACAAAGACTGGAACAATTTATCTCATCAAAGTTAGGCACTTCATTTTCAGTGAATTGAAGAATCACAAAATGATTCTCATCTTAAAATTATACATTTCAATGTGATTCATATTTCACAGTAAAAATAAAGGCAAACATAAGACTATTCTACTAAAGCAGAATTTTTGAAAAGCACAGTTTTAACCAAAAGTTTAAATTAAATTCCAATCTTATTTTTTTCTTATGAGTAAATTTTGATGCTGGAAGCAAATACTTCAGTGGTGAGTATGAATGTGAAGACTACAAAACAAAACTGTAGGCTTCCTATTACTAGCAATGGATAGAACCAGCCTATTAGGAAATGAGCTCATGGACTTTCTTCCACGTAAAATCAAAGAAGTAAGCGTTCTTACTACCCTCATCTTGCCTATGGCTTTCCCCTCACTTTATTCAGGTTTCTATTGAAGTACTTCTCTCCCAAAGACAGCTCTTAGCTAATTTCTTCATCCAGTTTTAGTGTTCATCACAGCACTTAGCTCGACTTACACTGTGTATTTCTTTAGGTACTGTTGGTCATTTCTACTAAATGTAGGCTGTATGAGTAGTGACTGAGTTCCATTCTGTATCCTGATCACCTTAGATAGGTGTTCATCAAATATTTATTGAAAGAAGAAAGGAAAGAGGGAAGGAAGGCAGGAGGGAGGGACAGAAAGAAAGAAGGGATGGAGGGAGGGAGGGACAGAAAGAAAGAAGGGATGGCGGGAGGGAGGAAGAAATGGAGGAAAGAAGGAAGAAAAGGGAGGGAGGAGAGGAGGGAAGGAGGAAGAGAGCAAGCAAGCAAACAATGGTCAGTGGCTTGAAGGCCTCTGCCTAAACATGTACACTGTGGCTCAGGAAAAAGCAGAATGCGAGAACACTGCAAGCAGCTGTCCCAGGTGCTGCCCTCAGGTCCCTGAATTTACAGAGCATAAGAATACAGGGCACACTGGCTGGCCTTGGTGTCAGCTGTGCTCAGCACACTCAAGTTTGTGAGCTTCTTCCTCTTCTCTATCTCTAGCTTTGAGGCAGCCCTGAGAATGCCGGTCACTTTCATCTCCTCATTTTCTTTTTTTTCAAGACTAGAACCAGGAGGCATAGAACCGGAAGGAGGACATTGCTGAGATCTGTGCAAATATGAATTTTGTAGCTTGGTGCCCAAATCTGAATGGATGGGTAGAGCAAAGCCTGAACCACACCAAGGACTACAGCAGGTAGATTAGGACATCAGTGGATAAACAGTAAAACGGGAGCAGACAACAAATAAGGTCCCTTCCAAGTGTGAGGTTCTCTTTGTGACTCTGGGCAAGCTGATAGGGCAGCAGTTTCACCCTTACTGCTCACCAACCCCCAAAGAAGAAATATTAGGGGTGGGTTACCTTCCAGCAGTGCTTTGCTGCCCAGATTTAGGAAGATGAGAAACATGCTGCTCAGTCATAGGACTGAAACACGCCAGAGACCCTCCAGAAGTAGTATGATTTTAATCACAGATGAAAAGTACTTAATAGTTACTGAACTACATAAAAACAATGACAAGCAATCCAAGGAGATAAGTTAATTCTGTTAAGGGAAACAAGTGACACAAGATTTTGCTTGGAGGAAGGAAAACAGAAAAGCAAGCTGTGATCTTCCCTTTTTGCAGCAAGTGCTTTGAATCGCTGTGAAGAAGGAAGTCCATGGACAACAATTTGATTTCTGAGTAATAATTAGATACTCTGAGTTTTCAATTTGATAAAGCTACAAATACGCTAGCATTTCTTCTCCACTGCACCCCAACCCACAATAGAACATGAAGGGTATAAAGCCTTTGGGATCCTCTCACTGGAGAAGTCCATATCTGAGATACCTCATTTTACATCATAAAGCTTTGAGGAAATTTTATCATGTTTAAACACTTTTTAAAAGAAAGTACCACATGATATTATAATGCTGGGTAGTATCTTCCCACCAAGTAGTGATGGGGTCAGAACAAGTCATCCCAAAATATGCCACTTTGATGTATTATTTTTAACTAAAAGAAACTGAGAACAAGTCAAAGCAGAAAAAGTACTTCGCCTCCCCATCTGCTTAAAATAAAGTATAATTTCTCATTTGTAGAGGAAATTCATATTAGCAAATATATCTATCTTTGCCAGAAAGAGAGTTACTTATAGATAACTTTTTATCACTGAAGAGACTTTTATCTACATAGCAAGGTAACCTTTATTCACCACTTACTTCCTCCTTTTGTGTTCCCACAATGTCTCTACCACTCCCCAGCACCCCCAAATTATTATTTCTATTCCTTACTCTAGCTTAAGATGGTATCTGTCTCAATCATCTGGCTGCTTCCTGGAGTCTTATATTTTGGTGGGATTCCTGTGCATATGTAGTAATTAAAATGGTTTTTCTCCTTTTAATCTGTCTAATTTCAATTTAATTCATAGACCAGCCAAAAAAATCAAGAAGGGCACACAGAAGCAATTTTCCCTTTCCTACAGTAGTCTTTCTCCTAATAAAATATATGAAGAAAACAAAATCCTTGCCATCATTATTTCACCTTATACCATTTCTGTCTGAAGGTTACTTGTTCTTCCCTTTTATATGGCTCAATAGGCAGATTTTTTTCCCTTTTCTTTAGAGTTGTGAATTTTTAGGGTATCCAGTCCTTGCAAGTGACAGTTCTTGAATATGAAACCTCTAATTGTTGTATTTATTAAAGGTACACAGCAACAAACTGTTACTTAAAAATGAATTAATTTTTAGAGGTTTTAAAAGATCTAACCTAATAGAATTTCCCTTACTTGTAAGTACAGTAATGTCTTTAATTATGCAAATGCTTAAATATTAAAAATATAAGCAAAATATGGAATTAAAATATACAGGCCAGGCATGGTGGCTCATGCCTGTAATCCCAGCAAATTGGGAGGCTGAGGTGGGTGGATGCACTTGAGGTCAGGATTTCGAGACCAGCTGGGCCAACATGGCTAAACCCTGTCTCTACTAAAAATACCAAAAATTAGCCAGGCTTGCTGATGCATGCCTGGAGTCCCACCTACTCAGGAAGCTGAGGCAGGAGAATCACTTGAACCTGAAGGCAGAGGTTGCAGTAATCCGAGATTGTACCACTGCACTCCAGTCTGGGTGACAGAGTGAGACTCTATCTCAAAAATAAAATAAAATAAAATAAATATGTAATTCCAATCAACTCTTATGGTGGTGGTAGTAATTTTTACTGTAATATGCACAAAAAAATTCACCAAAATTTGTGAGTAGATTAGCAGTTACTAATATTATAGTACAGGGTCTACAGCTACAGCTCTCATTGTGTTTTTACTTGTTTCTGTACATTAAAAAGAAAACATATAATCACAGATAGATTTTCCAAGAGAGGAAAATTACACATAATCCCCAGTCAGTATAACTTCTAATACTCTGAGGTCTTCACATTCAAAATTCCCTCAAAATAAATGTGGCTTCAAATTTTGGGGTGCATAACTGAAAATAATTATTTTACATTATAATTTGACATTTAAGTCATGTACAATGATTTAAAAATAGAACAAGTGTAAAATAAATTCTGATTCCAAATGACATAATCCTACTACCATAATGAAATAAATCCCTAACCTGATGGTCCCTGTATTGCTAATTTGTCTTTGGTAAATATACTTGAACTAAACCTAACCAGGAATTTAAAACTAACATCATAAACCTACCAAACAGATTCAAAGATAACACAAAATTTTTGTTTAGTGAACATCATCCAAATATTTCTTCTTCTAAGAAAAGCACTGTGTAAAATAATTTGAACCATCAGAACATATAAATATTATAAAAGTACTCGACCTTATATTTTCATCTTTATATCTTCATTGAATAGTACAGAGGCTGGTGTATTGTTATTGTTTAATAAACATTTAATAAATAATCCAGTATTATTCTCTTTGGGGTTCTATCCTTAACACAAACAAATGTAAAGACACAAATTTTAAAAGCCCAACATATTCAACTACACTGCTATTCAGCCATATGATGTAATTCTAACATACTTTTCCAGAAACATTCTGAGGCATTGCTTTGCAAATTCATGCCTAAGTGTAAGGATAAGCACAGGAGAAGTGGGGTGTTGGGAAACATTACCCTCAAAAACCCCAGAAACTAAGTTAGGTAAGATCTTAAGACAGCTGGCTTAAAAATAATAAAATAATATTTTTACTTTAAACTTTTATTTTTTAAGAAAAAATAACTGCTATTGCTGGCCTTAATTATTACTATTATTTTTGGGGGGCATGTGGCTGATATGACCATTTAAGGCTGTCATTTTCAAGTATACAAGCTTAAGTGTTCCATTACCCAGTCTGCACAAGACACATCACTATAAGCTCTAGTCATAGAAACTACTGGAAGTCCATCAAAGACATAAAGAAATAAGAAAGGCAACAAGGAGTTTAAATACAAGATGGGCTAGAAAAAAATATATAGATTAGATTATACTTTTCTAGAAAACCACATTAATTTGTTCACATTAAAACTTTGTCTAACAACACTATTATGTGTTACATGGCATTTATGAGGTAAATATACAACAGTACAAACAAGAAAGCTTAATCAAGCAATACAGGGAATTTGTAATAACACTGTTAACCTCTAGCACAGTTCTATGGCCTGTAACACAGAGAACGATTAGAAATGACTAGCAAAGCAGGTCAATATTCAACCCCAGGTAATACAGAGAACACCACAAAGATATTCTGCAAGAAGAGCAACCCCAAGGCACATAATTGTTAGATTCACCAGGGTTGAAAGGAAGGAGAAAATACTAAGGGCAGCCAGAGAGAAAGGTCAGGTTACCCACAAAGGCAAGCCTATCAGACTTACAGCAGATCTCTCAGCAGAAACTCTACAAGCCAGAAGAGAATGGGGCCAATATTCAACATCCTCAAAGAACAGAACCTCCAGCCCAGAATTTCATATCCAGCCAAACTAAGCTTCACAACTGAAGGAAAAATAAAATCTTTTATGAACAAGCAAGTACTCAGAGATTTAATTACCACCAGGCCTGCTTTACAAGAGCTTCTGAAAGAGGCATTACACACAGAAAGAAACAACCAGTATTAGCCTTTCTAAAAATATACCAAAAAGTAAAGAGCACCAACATAAAGAAGAATTTTCATCAACGAATGGATCGAACAGCCAGTTAACATCAAATGGCAGTAACCCTAAATTTAAATTGACTAAATCCCCAATCAAAAGACACAGCCAAAACCCAACGGCATGTTACATCCAGACCTGTTTCACATGCAAGGATACACAAAGACTCAAAACAAAGAAATGGAGAAAGATTTACCAACCAAATGGAGAGCAAAAATAAATAAATAAATAAATAAAAAGCAGGAGTTGCAATTCTTGTAGCAGATAAAATAGATTTTAAAGCAACAAAGATATAGTGGTAAAAGGATCAATACAACAAGAGCTAACGATCCTAACACCCAGATACATAGAGACTTAGATTCAATGAGACAGAAAATTAATAAGGATATCAAGGACTCAAACTCAGATCCGGAACAAGTAAACTTAATAAATATTTATAGAGCGCTCCACTTCAAATACATAAAATATACATTCTTGTCAATACCACATCACACCTACTCATAGTTTTAAATGAAACATTGATTGGTCATTATTAATACCCATTTTTTTTTCAGAATAAAGCAATATTTCCATTCACCCTCCCTCTCTCTCTTCCTCTTTCTTTCTCTCCTTTACTCATTTTTTTTCTTTCCTTCTCTCAAAAATAGAAATCAACTTGTAAACCTCTAGATCCAGGTTGGCAATGTCTCTCTCATTGCTTGAATTCCTTCCTTCCTCCCTTCCTCTTCCCTTCCCCTTGCCTTCCCCTTCCCTTCCCTCCCTCCCTCCCTCCCCACCTTTCTCCCTTCTTTCCTTCATCCCTTCCTCCCTCCCTTCCTCCTTCCCTCCCTTCCTGCCTTCCTCCCTTCATCCTTCCCTCCTTCCCTCCCTAAAAAAAAAAGAAAGAAAAAAGAAATGACTCCATTATACCAAATAAGATTCACAGATGAACAGGAAGACTTTGTCTCAGAAAAATATTTTTTAAGCAGAGCTTTGGTTTGATGTAAATTTCTTAATTGTTATATGAGGAAAATGGGTATTCAAAAGCCAATATTAGGCCAGGTATGGTGGCTCATGCTTATAATCCCAGCACTTTGGGAGGCCAAGGCAGGCAAATCATGAGATCAGCAGTTCAAGACCAACCTGACCAACATGGTGGAAGTCTGTCTCCACTAAAAATACAAAAATTAGCCAGGAGTGGTGGCAGGCACCTGTAATCCCAGCTACTTGGGAGGCTGAGGCAGGAGAAGTTCTTAAACCCGGTAGGTGGAGGTTGCAGTGAGCTGAGATCACACCATTGCACTCCAGCCTGGGCAACAGAATGAGACTCTGTTTCAAAAACAAAAAAGCCAATGTCACCTTAATTTATGGTCCAGGTGAAGACAAAAGTTGTAATTCTATAACTTCTTTAAGGTTCCAATATCTATACCTGAAAGGAGACATCAATTTAGTTTTATTTTTTCCTGTCTAAAGGTGGTATCATGGGAACATCAATTCTATTGTGGGAGCAACTTCTCTGTTTTAAAATTCATGTTACACACTGGAAAGTTATTTTCTCTTTGGTCAACAGACACTTGCCTCATTTTGAGTGTGGATTTTTTTTAAATTACCACAGTTATAGCAAAGTCTGAAACAAAAATTTAATTTATAATTATGGCATGAATCTAAAGCAGTTTGGGAGCATCAAATTCAATCTAAAATTGCTAGAAACCTTGTTATAGTTTAATAAACAATTACCTTAAAATGTATATTTTTAGTGTTCCTGATAAACTGATAAATGCAGTTTCTGTTAAATTTTATAAAATTGTTTATAATAAAAACATGAACCATTATGTTGTTTAAGTAGTGTCAACAGAAGGTAGATAGCATTCCCTCAAAAGAGTTTATCAGAGAAGAATGTAATGAAAGAACTCTGCACTGTCTGTGGACAGGGTGTAAGGTAACCTCAAGGGATGAAAAGGCACCCAGGGGCTGACAATAGCAGGAAACCATGAACTCTTTTAGGCTAGAAAGGGAAGGGAAAGGAAACAGTATTAACCAGATCCAGTGACAGTTAGAGCTATGGAAGTGGTTAAAAGGATCTGTGGCTTAGGAACCCACTGCCACAGTCAGACCACATACCTAAACTCACTGTCTCCCTACCCTCCAGACTCCTGCTGGTACCCGACTGGCTGATCCCCAACAGAAGCCAGAGGGCAAGGGAGCCTGGGAAATGCAGTGTGAAGGATCAGACTCAGAGCATAGGGCAGTAAAGGACAAAGAAGAGCATGGTATGGAGGAGCCAGGTGGGGACGATCAAGGAGGGCGTCAAAGAGAGAATGCCCAGGTCACCACCTGATTTATGTCAAATAGTGATCTGAGTCAGTATGACAGAATATTTTTAGAATTCTTATTTAAATCAGCTTCAAAATTTTTATAAATGATAAAAGGAGGACAGCAAAATTAAATCTTTAATGTTTTTTAAATTTAGCAAGAAATGATGATTAGCAGAAATTAGAATTAGTTGTAAAGTAAATACTAAGTATTGAAATGGAAGGCAAATGTCTTGACAAGAAAAAATTGAAAACAGAAAAGATCAAGGGGCATTAAAAATATTAAATAAAGAAATTTATAGGACAGACCCAAACCCTAGCAGAAAAAATAGTATTCTACCCTGGATAACTGGTGCTGGAAGGCTGTGTAGAAATAAGGTTTATTTTGTTGCATTTATATCATTATTGGTCTCAATGTAACAGATGAAAGGTGGCATTGGATAATTTTAAACAGACAACAGATTGGAACAATTTATTTTACCAGTACTAGGTGCTTTGTTATAGAGTGAGTTGAGGGGTCATTGAATGAATGATTCTTGTTTTTTTTTTTTTTTTGGGACAGAGTTTCACTCTTGTTGCCCAGGCTGGAGTGCAATGGTGTGATCTCTGCTCACTCCAACGTCCACATCCCAGGTTCAAGCAATTATCCTGCCTCAGCCTCCCTAGTAGCTGGGATTACAGGCCCACACCACGCCTGGCTAATTTTTTGTATTTTTAGTAGAAATGGGGTTTTACCATGTTAGTCAGGCTGGTCTTGAACTCCTGACGTCAGGTTATCTGCCTGCCTTGGCCTCCCAGAGTGCTGGGACTCCAGGCATGAGCCACTGCCGCCTGGCCATGATTCTCATTCTTAATGGTATAAATTTTGAAGTGATTCATATTTCACAGTAAGGATAAAGGCAACAATAAGATGCTTCTTCTAAAGCATAAGAAAACAAGATCACAGTATTAACCAGAAGTTTAAAATTTAATCCCATTCTATGTTCTCTATTGACTAAACTTCTAACCTGGAAGCAAATATTTTAGTGATGAGTATGAAAGGGAGGACTACAAAACAAAATGGCGGGCTTCTTATTAATGGTTACAGATGAATCAATCCATGAGAAAATGGGCTCATGCACTGTTCTTCACATAATATGAGATAAGGAAATATCATTTCTATGGCTTCTACCTGTTCATAGCTTCCCCCTCACCCTATAAGACTAATAAAAAAGAAAAAGGAGAAGATTCAAATAAACATAATCAGAAATGATAAGGTGGATACCACCACTGACCCCACAGAAATACAAACAACCATCAGAGAATACTATAAATACCTCTACACAAATAAACTGGAAAATCTAGAAGAAATGGGTACCTTCCTAGACACACACACCCTCTCAAGACTGAACCAGGAAGAAGCTGAATCCCTGAATAGACAATGAGTTCTAAAATTGAGGCAGTAATAAACAGTCTACCAACCAAAAACAGCCCAGGTCCAGACAGATTTACAGCTGAATTCTACCAGAACTACAAAGAATAGCTGGTACCATTTCTTCTGAAATGATTCCAAACAATTGAAAAGGAGGAAAACCTCCCTAACTTATTCTATGAGACCAGCATCATCCTGATACCAAAACCTGGCAGAGATACACCCAAAAAAAAAAAAAAAAAAAAGGAAGAAAGAAAAGAAAACTTCAGTCCAATATCCCTGATGAACATCAATGCAAAAATCCTCAATAAAATACTGGCAAGCCAAATCCAGCAGCACATCAAAAACTTATCCACCACAATCAAGACAGCTTTATCCCCAGGATGCAAGGTTGGTTCAACATACACAAATCAATAAATTCAGGTAAACAGAACTAAAGACAAAAACCATATGATTATCTCAATAGATCCAGAAAAGACCTTCAATAAAATTCAACATCGCTTCATGTTAAAAGCTCTCAATAAACTAAGTATTGAAGGAACACAGATCAAGATAGTAAGTGCCATTTATGACAAACTCATAGGCAATATCATACTGAATGGGCAAAAGCTGGAAGCATTCCCCTTGAAAACTCCCACAAGACAAGGATGCCCTCTCTCACCACTCCTATTCAATATAGTGTTGGAAGTTCTGGCCAGGGCAATTAAGCAAGAGTAAGAAATAAAGCGTATTCAAATAGGAAGAGAGGAGATCAAATTGTCTTTGTTTGCAGATGACATGATCCTATATCTAGAAAAACCCATTCTCAGTCCAAAAGCTTCTTAACTTCAGCAAAGTCTCAGGATACAAAATCAATGTGCAGAAATAACAAACACTCCTATACAGCAATAGGCAAATGGAGAGCCAAATCATTAATGAACTCCCATTCACAACTGCCACAGAGAATAAAATACCTCCAAACTACTGCTCAAGGAAATCAGAGAGAACACAAGCAGATACATGGGAAGAATCAATATTATAAAAATGGCCATACTGCCCAAAGCAATTTAGAGATTCAATGCTATTCCCATTAAATTACCATTGACATTCTTCACAGAACTAGAAAAAAACTATTTTAAAGTTCATGTGGAACCAAAAAAGAGCTCACATAGCCAAGACAATCCTAAGCAAAAAGAACTAAGCTGGAGGCATCATGCTACCCAACTTCAAACTATACTACAAAGCTATAGTAACCAAAACAGTATGGTACTGGTTTTAAAAAAAAACAGACACATAAACCAATGGAACAGAATAGAGAACTCAGAAATAAAACTGCATATTTACAACCACCTGATCTTTGATAAACCTGACAAAAACAAGCAATGGGAAAATGACTCCCTATTTAATAAATGGTGCTGAGAGAAATGGTTAGCCATATGTAGAAAATTGAAAATAGATCCCTTCCTTACACCCTATATCAAAGTTAACTCAAGATGGATTAAAGACTTAAATGTAAAACCCAGAACTACAAAAACCCTAGAAGAAAATCTAGGCAATGCCATTTAGGACATAGGCCTAGGCAAAGATTTTATGATGAAATTGCCAAAAGCAACTTTAACAAAAGCAAAAATTGACAAATGGGATCTAATTAAACTAAAGAGCTTCTGCACTACAAAAGAGACTATCATCAGAGTGAACAGACAACCTACAGAATGGAAGAAAATTTTTGCCAACTATCCATCCGACAAAGGTCTAATATTCAAAATCTATGAGGAACTTAACCAAATTTACAAGAAAAAAGCAAACAACCCTGTCAAAAAGTGGGCAAAGGGTATGAACAGACATTTCTCAAAAAAAGACATATATGTGGCCAACAAACATGAAAAAAAGCTCAACATCGCTGACCACTAAAGAAATGCAAATCAAAACCTCAATGAGATACCATCTCACACCAGTCAGAATGGCAATTATTCAAAAATCAAGAAATAACAGATGCTGGCAAGATTGAGGAGAAATAGGAATGCTTTTACACTGTTGGTGGGAGTGTAAATTAGTTCAACCACTATAGTGATTTCTCAAAGATTTAGAACCAAAAATACCATTTGACCCAGCAATCCCATTACATCCCAAAGGATAAATCATTCTATTATAAAGACACATGCACACATATGTTCGTCGCAGCACTATTTACAATAGCAAAGACATGGAATCAACCCAAATGCCCATGAATAACAGACTGGATAAAGAAAGTATGGTACATATACACCATGGAATACTATGCAGCCACAAAAACAAACAAGATCATGTCCTTTGCAAGGACATGGATGAAGTTGGAAGACATTATCCTCAGTAAACTAATGCAGGAACAGAAAACCAAACAATGCATGTTCTCACTTATAAGTGGGAGCTGAATAATAAGAACACATGGACACAGTGAGGGGAACAACAATCACTGGGGCCTGTTGACGGAGGGGGGACCAGAGGAGAACATTATGGGAAAGAGCTAATGCATGCTGGGCTTAATACATGGGTGATGGGTTGATAGGTGCAGCAAATCACCATGCACAAGTTTATCTATATAACAAACATGCATATCCTGCACATAGACTATAACTTAAAAAAATCTACATATTGGGTACAGTATACACTAGCTGGGTGACAGGTGCATTAAAATCTCAGAACTCACCACTATACAATTCATTCATGTTACCATAAAACACTTGTACCCTAAAAGCTATTGAAATTTTAAAAAATATTAAAAATTAAAACAAAGTTGGGCTGGGGGCAGTGGCTCACGCCTGTTATCCCTGCACTTTGGGAGACTAAGGTGGGCAGATCATGAGGTCAGGAGATCAAGACCATCCTAGCTAACACAGTGAAACCCTGATTGTCCTAAAAATACATTAGCCAGGCATGGCGCCTGTAGTCCCCGCTACGCAGGAGACTGAGGAAGGAGAATCACTTGAACTCAAAAGACAGAGGTTGCAGTGAGCCAAGATCACACCACTGCACTCTAGCCAGGGTGACAGGGCAAGACTCCTCAAAAAGAAAAAAATAAACAAAAAAAAAAAAAACCAAAGTTAAGGTATGAGGTCTACAGTTGCAGCTCTCACTGCACTTTTTGTTTGTGTACATTATAAAACAAAATGTAACTGCAGAGTTTTTCAGGAGAGAAATATCACCTATAATCCCTTACTTTCATATTGCTTTTAAAACTTTGAGGTCTCCATGTTCAAAATTTTCTGAAAGCAAATATTGCTTCAAATTAATATTTTTATTTTGGAGTACATAATTTTATTCTATAATTTGGCAACTAAAACACGTACAATGATTGACAATCAAATTAATGTTCCCATATATAACAAAAATTCAGATGCTAAATGAAAAATCTTACCATAATAAATAAATCCCTAACCCAATGGCCCCATACTGCTAATTTGTCTTCAATAAATATATTTGATCTGAAACTACCCATGAACTTAAACTAACATTACTAATTTTTCATATACACAAAGAAAACACAAAATTTGTTTACTGAACATACTGTAAATAGTTCTTCTTCCAAGAAAAGCACTACATGATATAATTTGAAACACTTCAGAACATATAATTATTATAAAACTTCTCAACCTTATGTTTTTATCTTTATATCTTTACTGACTAGCACAGGACCTGGCATATTGTCAGGCCTTTAAAAACTGTTGAATAAATAAATTAGCATTACAATATTCTATTTCAGGTTCTATCCTTAACGTAAACATGTCCAATTACACTTCTAGGAAGCCTTAGAATGTTGTTCTTACCTATTTTCAAAAAAAAAAATATTCTGAAGCATTGCTTCGCAAATCCACACCTAAATTGATGTCTTAAGAATAGGATAAGTGAAGAATTTGGAGACTTTACCCGAAAAACTCTAGGAACCAAGTTACATAGGATTTTGAAATAACTGGCTTAAAAACAGTAACATTTGACTTTAAAGCCATAATTTTAAAAGGAAAGGAAAATGCTATTGTCACTCTTAATTGCACCTGTAACTATTGTGTGTGTGTGTGTGTGTGTGTGTGTGTATGACTGATATTAGCATTTAATGCTGCCATTTTCAAGTACCACAAAGGTTTAATGTTTCATTATCTAATCTGTATATTCACAACTCTATTATAAGCCCAAGTCATGGAATTTAACTGAAGCCCACAAAGACATATAGAAATTTTAACTGAGGGAATAAATTTTCTAAATGTGGAGGGGTTAGGAAAAAAGTTATATTTTACATGATATTTTGCTATAAAACCATATTATCTTGTTCATACTGAAAATGGCTTTGGAACTGTGTAATGGGCAGAGGTTGGAAGAGTGTGGAGGGCTCAGCAGAAGACAGGAGGATGAGGGAAAGTTGGATCTTCCTAAACACTTGTTGAATGGTTGTGACCCAAATGCTGACAGTGATATGGACAGACACGGCCAGGTGGATGAGGCCTCAGATGGAAATGAGGAACCTATGGGAAGTGGAAGAGTCACTTTTGTTATGCTTTAGCAAAGAGCCTGACTGCACTGTGCCCCTGCTGAGGGATATGTGCAACTTTGAACTTGAGAGTGATGATTTAGGGTATCTGTTGAAAAGTTTCTAACTAGCAAAACATTCAAGATGTAGACTGGCTACTTTTAGCAGCCTAGGCTCACATATGTGAGCAAAGAAGTGACCTAAAACTGAAACTTATATTTAAAAGGGAGCATAAAAGTTTTAAAAATCTGTAGCCTGGCCATGTGGTAGAAAAGAAAAGCCCATTTCTGGGTGAAGAATTCAAGCAGGCTGCATCAATTTGTATAAGTAAAGAGGAGCCAAGTCTAACAGTCAAGACAATGGAGAAAAGGCCTTGAAGACATTTCAGAGAACTTTGTAGCAGCCCCTTCCATCATAGGCCCAGAGGCCTAGGAAGACAGAATGGTTTCCTGGGCCAGGCCCAGAGCCCCACTTCCCTGCACAGCTTCAGTACATTGTTACCCACATCACAGTCACTCCAGCTCCAGCCTCAGGTCAGACACAACACAGATACAGATACGGCTCAGGTCACTGCTCCAGAAGTGCAAGCTGTAAGCTTTGGCAGCTTCCATGGGATGTTAAGCCTGTGAATATGCAGAGTATAAGAATTGATGCTTGGGAGCCTCTTCCTACATTTTGGAGGATGTATGGAAAAGCCTGGATGTCTAGGCAGAAGCCTCCTGCAGGGGGAGATTCCTCATGGAGAACCTCTATTAGAGCAGTGCAGAGGGGAAATACAGGGTTGAAGCCCCACAAAGAGTCTACTGGGGCACTGTGATGGTTAAAACTGTCAACTTGATTGGATTGAAGGATGCAAAGTATTAATTCTAGGTATGTCTGTGAGGGTGTTGCCAAAGGCGATTAATATTTGAGTCAGTGGGCTGGGGAAGGCAGATCCACCCTTAATCTGGATGGATACCATCTAATCAGCTGCCAGCGAATATAAAGCAGGCAGAAAAAAGTGAAAAGTTAGACTGGCCCAGTCTTCCAGCCTGTATCTTTCTCCTGTGCTGGATGCTTCCTCCCTTTAATATCGGACTCCAAGTTCTTCAATTTTGGAACTCAGACTGGCTCTCCTTGCTCCTTAGCTTGCACACAGCCTATTGTGAGACCTTGTGATTGTGTGAGTTAATAATAAAACCGCATATACTCCCATATACATAAGTTAATACTTAATAAATTCATATATATCCTTCAGACCCCAGCACAGTAGATCCACCAACAGCTTAGATCCTGTATGTGGAAAAGCCACAGACACTCTACACCAGCACATCAGACCAGCTGTGGGGGCTGAATCTTGCAAAACCACAGGGGTGGAGCTGGCCAAAGCCTTGGAAGCCCATCCCTCACACCAGTGTGCACTAGATCTGGGGACATGGAGTCAAAGGAGATTAGTTTGGAGCTTTAAGATCTAATGACTGCTCTGCTGGATTTCAGATGCATGGGGCCTGTAGCCCCTTTCTTTTGACCAAATACTCATTTTTGGAATGAGAGAGTGTTTACCCAGTGCCTATACCTCCATTATATCTTGGAATAATGAAATTCCAACTTTTTTTCCAGAAACATTCTAAGGCATTGCTTTTCAAATTCTTATCTAAGTTTAAGGACAAGTATAGGAGAAGTGGGACCTGGTGAAACTTTTACCTTTAAAACCCTAGAAACCAAAGTATATAAGATGATTTAAAAAACTGCTTTTAAAATAATGAAATAATATTTTGACTTTAAAACTTTGTTTTTAAAAGCAAGAAAAACTGCTGTTGCTGGCATTAATTGTACCTATTCTTTTTTGTATGTGTGACTGAAATGAACATTTAAGGCTATCGTTTTCAAGTATAAACATTTATGTTTCATTACACAATCTGTGCAATCAACTTCACTACAAACTTAAGGCACAGAAATTAACAGAAGTGGCCAGGCATGGTGGCTCATGTCTGTAATCCCAGCACTTTGGGAGGCCGAGACAGGTGGATCACTTGAGGTCAGGAGTTCAAGACCAGCCTGGCCAACATGGTGAAACCCCATCTCTATTAAAAAACATACAAAAATTAGCCGACATGCTTGCTTGAACCCAGGAGGCAGAGGTTGCAGTGGGTAGTGAGCCAAGATCATGCCATTGCACTCCAGCCTGGTGACAGACCCAGACTCTGTCTCAAAATAAAAAAGAAATTAACAGAAGTCACCAAAATCATGTTGAAATCATAACTAAGGCAATAAGCAGTTTAAGTGGGCAGGGTTGGGAAAATTATGTTTTAGATTATGCTTCTCTATAAAAATGAATTAATTTGTTCACACTGAAACTTTGTCTAACACTATTGTCTATTGCATAGTTCTTGGAATAAGGCAGATCCAAAGTAGAAAATTAAAACAGTTCACCTCTAATACAGGTTTATGGCCTGTACCACAGAGAAAGATTAGAAATGGCATCAGTAATTCACATAAATGTTCACAAATGAACAATAAATTTTTGTCTCCATTTTTTAAAGCACAGTCTTTTACCTTAAGACCAATAAACAATACTCATAGATGAAACAGATCAGCATTATTTACTTCAGCTTGATATAATATTAATATTGTAAATTGTTATATGGCTAAAGAAAATGGTTATTTGCATGACAATATTTAGCTTAACTTACTGTCTGGTTATGTATATAATGAAACTAGAGATGAAAGAAAGAATGGAGTAGTCATCATGAGCGAATAAGAGAAAAAGCAGATAAGAAAATAAGGAAACAGGCCAGGTGCAGTGGTCCCAGCACTTTGGGAGGCCGAGGCAGGTGGATCACCTGAGGTTGGGAGTTTGAGACCAGTCTGGTCAATATGGTGAAACCCCATCTCTACTAAAAACACAAATATTAGCTGGGCCATAGTGGCATGCATCTGTAATCACAGCTACCCAGGAGGCTAAGGCAGGAGAATCACTTGAACCTGGGAGGCAGAATTTGCAGTGAGCCAAGATTGTGCCACTGCACTCCATCCTGGGAGAGAGAGCAAGACCCTTTTTCAAAAAAAGAAAGAAAAGAAGGAAACATTATTGAGCATCTACTCTGCTACATGAACCAGTTCTTGGGTTTCCTTCTCCCCATCTTAGTGATGAAGAAGCCAGACTCAGAGAGCTTGTGTCACTTATCCATGGTCACTGAACCAGTAAGTGATGGAGTCAGGTTTGGACGCAGGTATGTGTAATTCCAAAGCCTGTGAACCTCCAAGTGCACATAAAGAAGAATGAATCCACAGTTCTCAGCAGCCATGCCATGATGTTAAGCCCCTGCTAACACAGCCCCATTGTTGGCTAAGCAAGACATCCAACTATAAGAATATATTTCTAATTACTGACAATAAATTACATTTTTAAATTTAACTTAAAATTTCATTTTTTCTTACCAAAAAAACACTTTAGTTTAGCCAACAGTTTATTTATAAGCTTCTGAAAGACATTAAAATAGACTTAAACAAATGGAGAAACATTTTCTATTCTTGAATAAAATGACTCAATAGTTCTTCATAAATAAATGTATAAATTAATACAATCCCAATGAAAAATATCAAGAGTATTTTATACTTGGGCCTCTTGATACTAAAATTTCTGTAGAAAATCAAACATGCAATATTATCCAAGAAAACACTGAAAAAGAAAAACCACAGTGTATATGGTATACACTGTGGTATACTAGCCCCACCAAGCATTAAACCATACTAAGAAGTGTCTATAATTACAACACTACAGTACCAGTACATGGCTAGACAAACTCACCAGTGAATTAGAGTGTCCAGAAATAGATGCAAGTACATACAGAGACTTAGTATGTGATAAAGGCAGTATCTCAACTTACTGGAGATAAAGATGGACTTCTCAGTAAGTGGTATAGGTACTACAAGGTGGCCATCAGAAAAAGATAAAATCAGATCCCTATCTCATATCATATATGAGAATAAACCCCAAATGGATTCAGAATCTAAATGTCAATAAATGAAGCTATATAAGTTGCTATGGTTTGAATGTGTCCCCCCAAAGTACATGTGTTGGAAACTTAATCCTTTATCCTCATGAATGAATAAATGCTGGCTCTGCCCTCATGAATAAATTAATGGCCCTATCACGAGAGTAGGTTTGTTATCATGGCTTTGTTATAAAACCAAGCTTTCTTGGCTTACTTGCTCTGTCTCACCATGCAATGTTTCCTGCCATGTCCTGACGCAAAAGGAAGAAGACTTCCCAGCCTCTAAAACCATGAGCTAAATCAATCTCTATTCTTTATAAATTACCCACTCTGTATACTGGATTATAGCAACAAAAAATGAATGAAGACAAAAGTACCATAGGGAAACAAAGATAACTGTGGTATAGGGAAAATCTTTCCAAATCAAGAATCAAAATGTAGAGGCAATAAAATAGTAACGACCATATAAAACTAAATTTTTTTTCATGGTGCAAAAATTTTTAAACCACCATAAACAAGTGACAATCTGAGAGAAAATATTAGGAAGATATATCCACAGACAAGAGGCCAGTACTCCTAATATATAAAGAACTTTTGAGGGACAATAGACAAAAGCCCAGTAAACAGAAAATTCACAAAAACAAGACATATAAATGGCCCTCAAATGTGAGAAAACATTCAAATTCACTCATAATTAAAGAAAAGCAAATTGAAGCAAGACTGAGATACCATTTCTTGCTTGTCAGGCTGGCAAAAACTAAAAAGCAAAACAACACACTTTGATGGTGAGACTTTGGGAAAACAGCCACTCTCAAACTGATAAACCCTCTGAAGAGAAATGTAGCAATATCTAACAAGTACTCGCCTTTAACTCAGCAATCTCACCTCTAAAAATCTACCCTGAAGATACACCTCCAACTACATAAAAATATTAAAGCACAAAGTTATTCTTCGTAGTACTGCTTGTAATAGCAAAATATTGGAAATAGCCTAAGTACCTGTGGTAGGCAGAATAATGGGCCCTCAGAGAAGCCCATATCTAATCCCCAGAACCTGTGAATTTATCTCCTTACATGCAAAAAAGGACTTTGGAGATTTGATTAAGCTCGGGATTTTGAGATGGGAAGAGAAGAGTGATCCTGTATTATCAGGCCCCGTGTAATCATAAGGGTCCTTGTAAGTGAAAGATGGAGGCAAGAGAGTCAGAATTAGAGAGAAATGAAGATGCCATACTGCTAGCTTAAGTATGGAGGAAGAGCCCATGAGCCAAGGAACACAGGTGGCCTCTAGAAACTAAAAAAGGCAAGGATTTTCTCCTAGACCCTCTAGAAGAAATGCAGCCCCACTTACATCTTGATTTTCATCCATTGAGACCCATTTTAAACTTCTGGCCTTCAGAAATCTAAGACAAAAAGTTTTATGTTGTTTTAAATCACTAAGTTTGTGATAATTTGTTATAGCAATAGAAAACTAATATAGTGTACATATATCATTTGAATAAATTTTGATATAGCTACACAATAAAATTCGATTCAACCATTTTTTAAAAATGATAAAGATCTCTATGAACTGATTTGGAGTGGTTTCCAGGATATACTGTTACATGAAAAATGTGAAGTAAACAAGTTATCGATGATATCGATGTGAAGTAAACAAGTTATCGATGATATGCTACCCATCACACATGAGAGAAGGGGGCATAAGAAAATACAAATGTAGCTATTCACTGTACCAAATAAATGTAGGAAGGACAAACCAAAGATTTATCTTGGTTAAGAGACTGAATACCTATACAGGAAGGGTGGGAACAGGATATTATAAAGAGGGGGGGAATGGGAATGGGTTAATAGGGAGAAGGAGGCATAATATTTCTTAGAGTTTTTTTTTTTTTTTAAGATGGAGTCTTGGTCTGTCACCCAGGCTGGAGTACAAGGGCACAATCTTGGCTCACTGCAACCTCTGCCTCCTGGGTTCAAGGAATTCTCCTGCTTCAGCCTCCTGAGTACCCATTAGAGGCACCTGACATTATGCCTGGCTAATTTTTGCATTTTTGTAGAGATGGGGTTTCACCATGTGGCCAGGCTGGTCTTGAATTCCTGACCTCAGGTGATCTGCCCACCTCAGCCTCCCAAAGTGCTGGCATTACCACTGTGAATGTATCTTTCTATATAGCTTTGACTATTAGAACCACAGTAATGTTTCATATACTCCTCAGCTCTGTAATTAATTAAAACCAAACAGATGTGAAGAGAATACAATGCATAACAAATAAATCCAACTGCATTACAAGTCAATAATCTAACCACACTGAAGGAGCCAGGACAAACTAACCTTATTAACTTATGAAAATAGTATTTTGACTGGATACTGTGAAGACTAAAAATAATGCAAATAACATCCTCTAGTTATTGAATCTGTTTCTCACTGGGGTATGTACTGGCAATTCCATAACTATTTTACATGTCTACTGGGATTGAAGTGAAGATAGTATAAGTGTCTCAGTGTCTGAGAAAAAAAAAAAACCTACAAATAAAGAAAGAGAAAGAGCTAGAATGAAACATGTCACACTGGATTGGAATTAAAGGTGTCAATATGAACTTGTGGTTTAGAAAATATATACAGATAGGTAGATGTAGAAATAAATACAGATATGTGTCTATGCATGGGTTCATATACATAGAAATCTTTGCTGACAGGACCTAGGAATAATCACCATAACAATAAGCATATCCAGAGCCCAGGTCTTAATTTCCAAATATCATTCTCTGACAAAAGAAACCGTGACTCCATGAAGAAGTCATTAATTCCAGGACTGCGGCAGGAACAATATAAGATGAGCCGAGCCTGGCATATATTGTAATCACAGAAAAGAAGCAAGCACTCAGAAAGGGATGGGTTCTATTAAAAAGATGTAGAAAGCAAATGGAAATTAGTCAAAGTCAAAGCTGGAACCTGAGCCACAAAATAAATAATGATGGTTATAACCCATAGAATAAAATGTCCATGAAAATACAGTGATATAAATTATTGGATCAATAAACACACAAGAAGGGACAGCTCTTTCAATTAACAAACACAGATAAAATGAGGTAAATTTTTAAAAATCACTATTAGGCAATCTCAGAGCAATAATTTTTGCATGTAAGATCCCACCAATGAAAGATGAAATCAGTGGGCCAAAGTTCAAGAAAAAGCAGGATATTAACAAAGTCTCAAAGTATCCACTCAAAGATATTTATCAATTAAAAAGAAAAAATAATAACTTTACAGTGCATATAAACTTGATGGACACAACCTTAATGAAGTGATTAAGGTTAACACAACTGGCAACAAGACATATCAATTTCATGTATCCTCTGATACTGTTCAACAAGAAAGACAAAAAAGCATTTTGTGGTTTAAGAAAAATAAGCAAAAACATGCACAATCTCAATCTAATCATGACAAAATATTGAACAAACTCAAAGTAAGAAATTCTACTAAATGAATAACCAGGGTCTCTCAAAAGTACTTATCATAAAAGCCAAGGAAATAATGAGGTACTGTCATAGATGGGAGGAGATTAAGAAGACACCAAGTAAATGTAATGCGAGATCTTGGATTTGATCATGGAAAAGAAAAGAGGGCTTAGGAGAAAAACTGGTAAAAAAAAAATCAGAAGTTTGGTTAATAGTATTGTACCAATATTAATCTCCTGGTTTTGATCACTGTATAATGATTTGTAAGCTGTTAATATTAGAGAAAGCTAGATAAAGGATATAGTTAAACTATCCATGTTTTGTACCTTTTCTGCAAATCTAAAATTATTTCAAAATTAAACATGTTTTTAAAATATAGGTTCACTTTTATTCTGAATCTTATAGTTTATTCAAGTCTAATGATACTTTAGATTGTTTTCCTTAATACTCAACATTAAAGACATCTATGGGGGCTTTTTTCTATCTCTCTCTAGAAATCCTCCTCCTCCTGCTGCCCTAAATTATCTTAAGGAACCAGGTAAAGTAGAAACAAGACATGTAGAAATCAAAAGATTTTAATAGCAAGATGGCCTGAAATCTGAAATAAGGTAGGGTGACTATGTATCTGTCTGTGTACATATTATCCAAATGTATAAAAAGGTTAAAACAATTATTAAAGCTATAGGATTATTCTTAATCATTTTGCACCTGAAACCCTGCATATAGTAGGCATTCTGTATGCCTCACAATATTAATGAGTAATAATGCAATCAAACCCTCTTGCCCAAGCAGTGAAGAACTAAAAATTAATGAAAATTCATTCTCTTTAGATTTATGAAAATAAAATTATAGCTTGAAGGAAGAAAAGAAAAAAAGCTTTCTGATGGTTACTGGATTCATTGGTTTCACTTAAGTTCATGAACGAATCTAAAACCAGTGTGTCTGCTCTGGAGAAGTATCTGTCCTGGACCCACTGTTTACATGGAAGGGCTACGCAGCCAAGGATCAGCTTGGTGGCCTGACCTTTCTTTGTCATTTGTCTACCTTTGTAGAAAAGTGCCTATGGCACTAATGACCTCTATTAGTTGTTTTACTTTCACTTCCTACCATTCCTGGACATCAGAATATAAGAAATCTTAAAAGTATTTTCATTAGCTCCCCTAAGTGACTGCAGACATATTAATATCTGGCCCACACTTTAAGAGACTTGGTGGGTCCAGGCGTAGTGGCTCACACCTGTAATCCTAGAACTTTGGGAGGCCAAGGTGGGCAGATCACCTGAGGTCAGGAGTTTCAGACCAGCCTGCCTGACCAACATGGAGAAAACCCGTCTCTACTAAAAATGCAAAATTAGCCAGGTGTGGTGGCACATGCCTGTAATCCCATCTACTCTGGAGGCTGAGGCAGGAGAATCGCTTGGATTAGGGAGGTGGAGGTTGTGGTGAGCCAAGATCATGCCATTGCACTCCAGCCTGGGCAACGAGAATGAAACTCCATCTCAAAAAAGAAAAAAAGAAAGCAAAGAAAATAAAGAAACTTGGTAGACATTTTTAGTAGCCTCTTTGAAAGTTAATGCATAATAGTATTTGCATTTAGATACCATCCTTCATAATATAACTAAGTTAATTTATTTCCAATCATTCCAGCTTTGGAAAAGAAAGACACAGCAAGTTGCCACTCAAACTTCAGACACTTGAAGACCACTAAAGATCAAGATGCTCTTTTCAAAGGGGCTGTGTGGGCAGAACCTGGTGAGCAGTTTCTTTACCCGAGCCAGTTAAAGACTTAGTATAGCCAGGCACGGTGGTTCACACACATAATCCTAACATTTTGGGAGGCCAAAGCAGGTGGATTGCCTGAGCTCAGGAGTTTGAGACCAGCCTGGGCAACATGGTGAAACCCCGTCTCTACTAAAATACAAAAAATTAGCCAGGCATGACAGCATGCACCTGTAATCCCAGCTACTCCAGAGGCTGAGATAGGAGAATCACTTGAACCTAGGAGGTTGTAGTGAGCCAGGATCATGCCACTGCACTCCAGCCTGGGCCACAGAGCAAGACTCCATCTCAAAAAAAAAACGACTTAGTATTGTGACCCCTAATCTTTACTGTGCAGCATCTAGCTTCTGCATGCTCGTAAAGAATGGACCTTATACTAGGACAGCTGGATATCCATGTGCAAAAGAATAAAGTTGGACCCATACCTCACACCATACATAGAAATTAATTCAAAATGAACCAAAGACCTAAATATAAGAGCTACAACTAGAAAACATTTAGAAAAAAACATAGGAGTAAATCCTTATGAAGTTGGATTTGGCAATGGTTTTTTCTGATTTAACACCAAAAGCAACAAAAGAAAAATAAATTGGACTTCATAAAAATTGAAAATGTGTGCATCAAGGGACACTGTCAAGAGAAAAAAAAACCTGCAGAATGGGAGAAAATATTTACAAATCTTAGATAAAAATCTAGTATCTGCAATATGTACTCTTTTTTTCCTCATGATTTTTCAGTTTATTGCTCCCCTGCTGGGCTTTCAGTTTAACACATAGCAAGCTCTAATTACAAGTGAAGAAAATGAAGGTTCATGACAAAACGCAACAAACTGGAGACACTAGCTCAAATATTTTCTCCAAAAAAAAGACTGTCCATTTTGACTTATTTTGTTTTGGTGCCATTCAAAATGTATAAAATGCATTAGCAACTAAATGAAGACCGAGTTTCAATAAAATGAAATAAGTAAGTAAGAAGCCAGCACTGCATGTCTTAACTGAATTTTTACATGGATTTGCAGGTTTAATTCTACTTGTATACATAGCATCTTTGTTTTAATCTAACACATTTAGAGAACATTACATTGTATGCACTTCTACAGTCTAACATCTAAGTAGAATACATCTATCTTATAACATTATTTTGGAAAATCAGAAATTACAGCCCATCGAATACATGATTATAAGGATGCATGCAATCACCTTCAAAGCTGCTGCCATCAATACTCAGAACAATTCACCTGGTATCTTGTTGAGGCCTCACCTCCTGCCCTTCGTGTTTGTGTTGGGGTAAATCAAGAGGTAAACCAGAGGCCAGCGCTCAGCACAAAATGGTCAGTGTCCACCTCTCATCTTCTCACTGGGATCTCATCACAACATGCTCAACCCCAGAGCTGGCACCCCCAAGAGACTTCCCTGCAGCCCTCTTCAGCCACAAGACATCACAGTGAAGGACTTAGAAATGCAGGATATGTTGCGGAGCACGATGCAGAGAAGAAATACCAAGACGCAGGCCACCAAGATGACAGTGCACACCCCTAACCAGGTGGAGCTTTTCACTACGCCCCGCCTGCCCTGCTCCTCCTCCACCACTTCCTGGGGAGCCCCGCCTTCCACAAAATGCTGTTCAGCGGGGATGGTCACCACGGTGACGGACTTCTGTGGGCTCTTGGGCAGCAGGCACCAGCCCATGTCTCCGGGCAGCGGCGCACGCTCCTTGGAGACGGCCAGCGGCGGCATGTAGCACCCGTTGCTGGGAATTATGATGAAGACCGTGTATTTTCGGAAGTGTGTGGAATGGCGATGACAGCCAGGACCTCGGGGTCATCCAGGAGCTGCGACACGGAAAAGCCGGGGCAGCTTGATGACACCGCGGCACCAGGAGCACCACACGTCCTTCTGGCTGGTCCTTATCTGCTGGACGCACACTGAATAGCAGGTGTACCTGCAATCCAGCAACTTGGGCCTTTGCCGGGGGCTGTAGTAACTGAAACAAATCTGATATTCCAACAGAAGGACGTCTCCATGGTGGACCGTGAGCAGGAAGTGCAAGGCCAAGGTGAAGGGGAAAGAGCTGGTTCTCAGAGGCCCTCGCTCTGCGTCTTTTGAGTGAAAGTGATGGGGAGCTCACAGGCAACCACCACTCACGGGGTGTTCATTCTGTCAAAGGCCAGGGCGCTCTCAGTGGCAAGCAGTTCAGACCCAGAGGTGGGCAAACCTTCTCTCAAAACACCCAGGAATACGAGGCCAGCAACAACAACAATTTTCAAAGACCACGGCTGCTGCAAACAGCGGTTCCCAAGGAAAACATCCCAATATGATTATTTCTCCTCCAAACTGAATCTATCACCGAGCCCCTTTCACCCTCTTCTGCGTGATTACATCAAATGGAAATGTATGCGTTTGGGAGGCAAGACGCTGACAGGCAGGAAGCACAATTGAGACTGAGCTTTCTTCTGCTGACCTATCTCTGTGGCGGACTCGGACGCTCTCTAAAGAGGCGGCAGTGGCAACAGCACTGCGGGGTGGTCCCGGCGTGCACGACCGGCTCAGTCAGATATGCACCCTGAGCCCCGGGCTGGCAGCCGCCCTCGGCATTCGCCCTGGACATTGCCGCCAGTAAAGTACTCTTACAATACAACAACAAAAAAGACACGCAAAAGACCAGAATAGACATTTCCCCAAAGAAGATACACAAATGACCATCAAACTCATGAAAACATATTCAATGTTATTAGCCATTATGGAAATTCAACTCAAAACTCAGAATGAGATATACCTCAAAATCACCAGATGACAAGAATTTAAAAAAAGGAAGAGGAGGAGAAAAAAAGGGAAAATAAGATCTGGTGAGGACATAAAAAATGGTAACTCTTATACTTCAAGGTGGGAATGTAAAAAACTACAGCCATGGTGGAAAACTCTGGTGGTTCCTCAGTAAGTTAAGTATAAAATTACCGCATGACTCAGCAACTCCATTACTATATACCCAAAAGAATGGAAAATAATTGTTCAAACAAAAACTGGTACAAAAATGTTCACAGCAGCACTATACACAATAGCCAAAAGGTAGGAACAACCCAAACATCCACCAACAGATGACTAGGTAAACAAAATATGGTACATCCACACAACAGAATGATATTCAGCCTTAAAAAGGAATGAGATTACAATACGGATGAATCTTAGAAAGATGAAAAACATGTTACAACACAAATAAATCTTAGAAAGATTACGTGGAGGAAGCCAGATACAAACAACTACGTATTATATGATTTCACTTACAAAAAATGCCCATAATAGGCAAACCCATTGAGGCAGAAAGCAGATTAGTGGTTGCAAAGGGCTGAGGAGGGAGACGAGAAATTAGAAGTGACAAGTTAACAATTATAGGGTTTCCTTTTGGAGTAATGAAATGTTACAGAATTAAATAGTGGTGACAGTTGCACAACACTGTAAATGTATTAAATGTCAATGAATTGTAGTAGACTTTAAAATGGTGAAGTTTATGTGATGTGTATTTTTTCACAAGTGAAAAAAAAAGTGAACTTCAGAAGAATGGCTTCAGGTGAGGAACATGGGATACTAAGGCAGGTAGTGAGGACAGGAGATATGGGCAGAAAGGAGTCCCAGAAGGACAAGCTGAAGACAGTGTGGATCCAAGCACAGGAGTTAGGTCATGCATGTACCCACACTCCCTCAGTGAACGGTTGGTCATGCTGCTGCTTCATGCAAGACACTTCCTGGTTAAGTCCCCTCATACTTCCAGGCTCTGAGCCAACCCCCACTCACTACCTGGTCTTTTACCTACAGAGATTTTGCTGCTTTCTTCTCTTTCACACACCCTACATTCTGTTGGTTCCTTGTCACCACGAGCCTCTCTACAAAGCACACACTGCACTTTCTTGCTTTCCTCAGAAATAGAACCCTTCCTATTTCGAGATGTGGGTACAGTCTTCTCAAAAAACAAGCAAGCAAAGGAAAAAACAGATGGGAGGCCACAAGTATAACAGATATTGAAAGTTACAGGATTTAAGCAATTTTTAAATGTGCTCATAATAGTTATTTGCTGCTTTGATTTTTATGTATTTGAAAAAGCATTTATTGAGCACACACTGTGTTTTAAGTTGCAAAAACCATCAGGTCACATCACTACTCCTCTCAAAGCTCTTTTATGGCATCCCACGTCACTCACAATACATTTCAAAACAGTTGTTGTGGGTATAAGTCTTGATAAGGCTTGAGCAACTTCTGACCTCATCTCTCTCCACTCTCCCCCATCCTTTCAGAGTTATGGCCATACCAGCCTCTTTGCTGTTCTTCCAACTCACCATGAGTTCTACCAGCTCAGCGTCTCTGTATTCACCTTCAAACTCTTTCCCCGGCTATCTGCATGGTTCACTTTGTCGTTTCCCTCAAGGCTCTGCTCAAAGGTTACCTTCTGAGGCTTTCCCTAACTACTCTACCAAAAGTGGAGTTTTCTACTCCCTATGCAGACTCCCATCATTACCCCTTACCCCGCTTCTCCCCACTCACAGAACTCATCACTACAAACACGCCGTGGATATTAGTTTGTTGCTTGTATTCCCACCAGAGTGTAAGTTCCACAGGGGAAGGATTTTGTTCACTGTTATGTCTCACCACCTAAATATTGCCCAGTACAGAGCAGGGACTCCTCCATAAATATTTGGTGAATGAATAAAGGCACATCTAGTAAGAAAACTTCTGCTTTAATTACTGACTTTGCTGAGTGTTTACATGGGGTAGATGCTGTGTACTAAATTCTATGTGGGACATCTCATTTAATCCTGAGTAACTCTAGAAAGTATCATTATTATATTATTATATAATATATTATTATATAATATATGATATAATATATTATTATATAATGTAATATATGATATAATATATTATATCATATATTATTATATAGCTTAATAATTATTAAGCTATATATTCACGTGTGGGAAATGAAACACAGACAGGCTAAGCCACATGCTCACAACCAAGAATTAAGTGGGTCTTATCCTAGGGATGTGGGAGTCAACTTGAAAGAGCTTCCATTAGCCAAAGATGGGATAACTTGAGCAAAAAGAATAATGACTGCAACTGATTAAAGAGCTTATAGTCACAATATACAAATAAACAAAAATTATTTGGTCACCTTTGGAGACTTCTAGGGTATCAATTCACTATTCTAAAATTGCTAAATAAAATAACAGAGTCGAGCATTTATTTTGTTTCCTGTACAAACTATATTTCAGGATAGCCAAGTAGTTAGTAAGAGAAAGTTCTTAATAAATTTCCAGACAACAAATGTCAAAGGAATAAGAGAATTTTTTTAATTGCCATTTTTCTCCAAGTCCTAATGAAGTCACACATGTAGGCAATTATCATGAGTGGATGGTAAAGCCAGTAGATCACGTGTTGATGGGGAACTTTATAATGGGTAGATCAGGTTGATATGACTGACGGTAAGAAAACCAGACCTCATGAGCCTTATGATGTGATGTATTAGGAAGTACACAGTGCCACCTAGAAATCATTCTTGCTAAAAGAACCTAACCTGAGTCTCATCAAAACTGTAAATTTACCAGTTCATAGGAAAAATGAAGCATAGAAGAATATGTTCAAAAATGCCACGAGGAAACAATCAGCCAAATACAGACCGAGGGACATTCCACAGAACAGATGAGCTGGTTTCTTCAACAAATAAACAGTACCACAAGTAGAAAGGAAGAGATATTCTCACAAACTGAGAAAGACTTAGGAGTCACAATAATCAAGTATAGTATGAAAACTTTGCTTGGATCCTCATTTCAAACACAACTGTAAAAGGCACTTGCGAAGCAACTGAAATTAAGTTGTATATGATAGGAAGAAAATACTGCTAATTTAGTTACATATGGTTATATCCATATCTGTTAGAGAATCATATGGAAATATTTACAGGTAAATTTAAATTTGCCTTAAAGTATATTCCAACAAAAAGGGGGAAAAAGGCAAAGGAAAATGGAATAGAAGAAATAGGATTACCAAAATGTTGGTTTTAAAGTTTCCTTTAAAGTTTTCCTCTCCTCTACATGCACTTTAGCAAGTTAGGTTTGCTGGTGGATCTTAGTATTTCTTTCTAAATTGACAAGATTATATCTTCAGTTAATTTTTTTTCAAAACACCTGGCTATTTTCTGAATATTTGCACGTTTAAAATTTTCTTATCAGCATGCATGTATAATTTACCTAAATATAAAGTTTTGGGGTTTTTCTCTCAAAATCCTGAAGCTTTGCTCCATAGTCTTCAGGCACTTAGAAGAAGACATTTGAAGTCAGACCAATTTTGGTTCACAAAACACTCCAGAATTCTCCATTCTTAACACAGTATTGAAATTGTTTGTTGTCACTACCACACCATTACCCTGTTCAAGAGCCTGAGGGCCTTGAAGGAGGGAATTGTGCTGTTTAACAAAGTATTTCTAGCTCCTAATTCAACTGGCACATGACAGACATGCCATAAAATGTATTAAATGCATAATGAATATTGTAATGTCAAAGGAAAACCTCCCAGTATGTGTCTGTAAGTATGTTTCTTTTTATAATTGTATTTGGAACATACTGTATCTTTTATCTGCATGGTAAGATTTCACAGAAAACTAAGGGAGTATATACATTCTTCCTTTATTTTCTCATTACGTACACTCAGACCTTTACAGACTTGTTTCTTCCCTCATATTCTACTGACATGGTTCCTCCCAGACACTGACCTTTTTTAAAGGCCTTTGACTTCTCTGCAGCATTTTATACCATTGAGAAAACCTTCTTTCTTCTTGAAACACTCTATGAACAGATTGCCAGGTACCCCAGGTACCTCCACTACAGCTCATTAAGAATTCAGAGGGTAAATTTTTAAATTTTTATTTACTTATATGAGACAGGGTCTCGCTCTGTCAACCAAGTTGTAGTGCAGTAGCATAATCACAGTTCACTGAAACCTTCACCCCTGAGGCTCAAGCAATCCTCCTACCTCACACTCTTGAGTAACTGGAGCTAGAGGCACACAACACTGTGCCCGGCTAATTTATATATATTAATGTGCAATATACACACACACTATATATATACATATATATACACACACACATATATACATGTATATACACATATATACATATATATACACACATATATACATATATACACACATATATACATATATACACACATATATATACATATACACACACACACACACACACATATATATATATATATATATATATATATATTTTTTTTTTTTTTTTTTTTTTTGTAGAGACAGGGTTTTGTCATGTTGCCCAGGCTGGTCTTGATTTCCTTGGCTTAAGCAATCCTCCTTCCAAGTAGCATGAGCCATCATGCCTGACTAATCTTTCTTGTTTGTTTTTGTTTTTTGTAGAGATGGGGTTTCCCTGTTTTGACCAGGGCTATAGGCATGAGCTACTCTTCCCAGCCTCTACATATTAAATAACTATTTTTTGGTTTATAGCTATGCCTCATTTTTTCAAAGTCTGGATCTCATGTATTTTTTTTAAATCTTTAGTTTGTTGAACACAATAAACAATAAATAAACATC